AGCTTGTCCAAAGTTCAGAGGGCCTGGGGGGAGGCCTTGGATGTGGGTCATGTCATCTGGGAGCCGCAGAATGTCCCCTCCCCGCAGCTTGCAGCAGGAACCTGGCCGGGGCAGAGTCAGGACAGTCTCAGGAGGTCCATGTTTGGAGATGAGCTGTCCCCTCCCTCCGGGGGACCGGCGGTGGCCTTCACCCCTGAGAGGAGTTCCCTGGGGTGACCTCAGCTCTCAATCCCGGACCTGAATGTTCTGTGGAGCCTGTTTATGCAACTCGGGTCACCAAAGGGCCTTGTTGCTCCCCATGGCCAGGAAGGCCGGCCGGCCGTGATGGTGGCCTGGGCGCCAACCACACAGCTGGGAGCGGCCGGGCCTCACCCGGCCTTGATGGTCCTGGCGGCCAGGACGGGTGGCCCCACGGTGCTCACTGAGTCACAGGCTCAGAGACTGAGCAGGGCGTTAGGCCGCCCCACTTCTGATCTGTAAGATGATCAACTGTCTGCTGGGCCCCGAGTCAGGCCGGGGGTGCTGAGGCCATTTTCTGCACCCCCAGCCCAGGCCTGGGGCGCTGCAGGGGCCTGGGCGGGCCGTGGAGAAAGCTCAGAGGTTTCCCAATGGCTCCCGGCAAACCGGCCCGGCCGCACTGGCTCGGGCAGGAGGGCAGCCGGGTTCAATCCCTGTACCTTTCACCCGCAAACCTTACAGGAGGTGCAGAGGGCCCTGGACTCTGCCCCAGCGGGGCGCAGAGGGAGGCTGTTGGGGCCCAGGGACAGAGCTGCCCGACGCCCCGGCCCCTGCCAGTCAAGGCCGATGAGGGTGGCCTTGGGGATCATCCACTTTGTCTGTAACCAGCCTTCGGGGCCAGCGGCTGGGACCCCGGCCCCCTGCGGGTGGCGTCTCCTGAGGATCTAAAACATCCCATGTCTAAGCACCTCGCCTTGGGGGGCTGATTTTAAAACTGTTCATGAGCCTGTAATTATTTCAAAGTTAAATAAATGGTACGCTGGGCACGGTGGCCAACGCTTGCAATCCCAGCGCTCGGGAGGCTGGTGCAGGAGGGTCGCTGTGAGTTCAAGGCCAGCTCAACTCCATAACGAAACTTGTCTCCAAAAAGAAAAACACAGATTGAGCCTTAGGTCGTTGAGAAGACCAGGGAGGTGAGGGTGGTTTCCCGGCCCGGGTGATGGTTTTTCTCGTTTCGAAGGTCACGGGTAGATAAAATTGTAGCCCCCTCCTGTGCTTTCCTCTGTTACTAGGAGACCGCTCTTTGCTGACACTGTGTTTACTGCCTCCATGATGTCTGGTGTTTGTCGTTGTTTGTTGATTGCATTTTTCCCCGGGGCTGGGGCTGGAACCCAGGGCCCTCTTTAAGCTCGGCAAATGCTGCCCGCTAAAGCCACAGCCATTTCAGTCCACTCCCACACGAGTCTCACTGGGCCGCCTGGGGCGGGCTCCAGCCTGCAACCCTCCTGCCTCAGCCTCCAGCAGCGCCCGCCCGGGCTGCTCCGAATGGCTTGTTAGGCGAAGGGTTTGACTTTGGTTTCTTGGCTTCTGAGTGGGACCCTGCGACGGTGGTGAGCGCTGAAAGAGATCCCCTCCCGGCCTGCCGGTCCTGGGTCAGTGGCCTTGGCTTTCCGTTGTGTTGTATCTGTCACAAAGGTCGCGGGACTGATTACTGATGGTTGCTTCCACCTGTGGCGGAGATTCCTTCCGGGCTTTGGTTGCTAGGTAACCGCTCCAGGATGCGGAGTCGGGGGTCCCCTTTGCCCCTCCCGCGTGTGTTTTGTGTTTTCATTCTGTGGCTCCTGACGGGGAACCCAGCTGAGAGCCCCAGGCAGAGTGGGCGGAGGCCAGGAACCTGCTCTGCACCCACAGCGCCCAGGACGCCCCCGTGACGACTGCAGGACCCGGTGGTGCCCCCAAGGGGACCTGAGCTCCCAGAGGTTCCCTGCCTCCCCAGCCCCGGGCCCCCCCACCCCCGTGTGCCTCCAGCTCTACCCGGGGGTGATCTCACTGTGCCCTGCCCGGGCCCCCTACCCTGTCCTGCGTGCTGTTGGGACCTGGGCCGCCCTGCAGGATCGAGCTGGGCGCTGGGCACAGCTCCCTGCTTTCGGCTTGGGACTGGCGCAGGGCCTGGCGGCGGCTCTAAAGCCCTGCACCCAGGTGGTGCCCGGCCTCGGCAGGCCTGGACCTGCCCCTCGGGAGGCCGAGGCTGTGTCAGGAGCTGGCACCAGGCTGGGGCCTCCCTGGCGAGCTCAGGGCCCCGACTCCGCTCGCCCGGGCAGGCCTGGCCCAGTCGGTGCTGGTGCCATCATGTGGGCCGGCACCCACCATGGCGAGGAAGGTCCCCACTGACTCCGAAACATGGCTGTGAGCTGGGCGGGTGCTGACCTGGTCCCGGTCGGGTGCAGCCGGCTCGAGAGTCAGGTACAGGCTAGGGACAGCAGGAAGTGCCCGCATAGGGAGCCGGTGACGCCACAGGTGTCTGAATCACACCTTGGCCAAGTAAGTGCACGTGTGTGCACATGTGCACACACACACACACACACACCTGTGCACACACACATACCTGTGTACACACACCTGTGCGCACACATACAGATATGTTCACAGGTCCACACAGCACGATGCACTCAAACACGCCTACAGGTGTGCCAGGCTGTGCCGACACCTGTGTACCTGTGTGTGTGTACACAGCCCAGGCATGCATGTCACACGCATACCCGCTTAGGTGCACACTGCTGTGGTGAGCAGAGGTCACACTGAGATGCACAGACACTCGTGCTCGTGTGCACACACAGAAAAGCTCACACACGCACCATGCGCTTGTACTCAGACATGTACACACGCACACACACAGGGGTATGCCATGCACACACGTGTACGCACACAAACGCACGCACGTGCGGAATGCACCCTGCTGGCCAGGAGCCTCTGTCCCCGGAGCTGTGCTGGCCGTGGGGACCCTCTCCAGGGTGCTGGTGGGACCCCCCACGGGCTTCCAAGCGCAGCAAGCCGGGTGCTCGCAGCCGGAACTATATTTAGCGCTGAGTAATTTGGGTATTTTAAGCCCGGGCCGGGCAGCCTTCCCTGCGCCGGGTGCCCTGTGGCTGCTTTGAAGCCGGGGTTGAATCAGATCCCTGACGGCCACACGGCCTCAGCCCGGCGCCCACACCGCTTGTCTGCCCGCCTGCCCGGCGGCCGCATGGCCAAAGGATTTTTTTTTTTAGGCTAAACTGAACCGTGATAGGGGGCCCGGAGATTGGCAGCCACGAGGGGCCAGAACAGAGACCCTGTGTACCCTCCAGCCAGCTGCCGGCCCCCTCACGGCAGCACTGTTTTAAACAAGTCCAGCGTCTTCCTCCTCTGACCCCTGCAGGCTGGTTCTGTTTTCGGTTAGTTTCACACAGGGTCTAGCCACACTGCCCAGGTTGCCTCGGGAGCTGTGACCCTCCCGCCTCAGCCTCCCAGCATGCTGGGGAGACAGACGTGCACAGCGGGGACCGCTGCATCCCCTCCCACCGCCCTCCTCTGCGGGACACAGGGACCTGCCCGGCCCCACCACCCGCAGCATTCTCGGAGATCCGCGCCTTCCAGTTTACGGCCCAGCAGGAATTCGTCCAAAATCTCCGGTCTGTCTTTACCCGTCTGCGGCTCCCCAGCTCCACCGGCTACAAAGCAGACAGCCATGCCATGCGTTAATGACAGACACCAGCGCTGCGTAATTAACTAGCTGAGTGTCTGCCCCGCTGAGACCGGGGCTCCCGGGACTCCCCACGCCAGGCCGGCTCCACCAGGCGCCCGCCCGCCAACACCGACCCGTGGGCTGGGCGCCCTCCTCGGGGCCACCTGGGGCCCTGCAAGGTGCTGAGCTAAGTCCCTGCATGCAGCCGTTGCCTGACGTCTGTCCCCTGGTGTCCCCACCGGAGAAATAGAACTTTTACTGCACAAAGCCACGGAACAGATGTGCGGGACTTGATTAGAGAAGAGAATTACCATCCCACATGCAGGGAGGCAGGAGTGGAAAATGGCTCAGCCACTCGGCAGACTGCGAGAAACTTTTTGTTGTTGTTGAGACAGGGTCTCGCTGTGCAGTGCAGGCTCCCTTGAGCTCACTGCAGAGCCCAGGTTGGCCTTAAACTCCCCAAGATTCTCCTGCCTCAGCCTCCCGAGTGCCGGGCTGACAGCTGTGTGCGCCCCCGCAGTCAGAGGGGTGTCCCATCTCTCCAGTGGAATACTACTCGGGAGTGAAAAAGAAGCTGGGCATGGTGGCACTCGCCTGTCATTCCAGCACTGGGGTTGTTTGGGTTTGGATTTTTTAATTTAACTCAGGGCTTTTGCTGTAGGCTACATTGTTTTTATGTTTTGAGACAGGGCCTCGCTAAGTTGCCCAGGCTGGGCTTGCATTCACCGTGGTCCTGCCTCAGCCTCTTGGGCACTGGGATGTTAGGGCTTCACCATCCCACAGGTCTCTTCCCCGGCCCCTCCCCATGCCGCCTTCCCCAGAAACCACTCAGAGCAGGAAATGAAAGCAGAGCCTCCTGCTGGGGCCCCGCCTGTCACGTGGGGCATGGTTTGCTGAGTGAATAAAAAGAATGGATAGGGCCAGGTCCTGCAGCCAGCGTGCCACCCACCCGGCCCTCCCATGACCTGTCTCAGGGCAGAAACCTTGGGGACAACGCTGCTCCCCCAGGGAACCTTGGGGGATACAGGGAGCCCTTGTGACCTGGGGAGCCCCTGCAGCACCCAGCGGGCACAGAAAACCCTCGTCCCTCCCCCAGGTCTCACTGTGGGGGGAGGAGCTGTCAGGGCCGAGATCCAGGAAACACCAGGGCCTGGGGTGCACCCCGTGCCCCGCATTCGGAGGGAACCGTCTCCCTGGGGTCACTCGGGCAGCAGACACCGTGCCCTGACCCCCGAGAGGCACAGGAGGGCTGGCTGGGCGGCTCCTCCGCGGGCGCAGTCCCGGCCCCGGCAGCCGGCTCAGGTGCCTGTGCTCCCCGCAGCTCTCTGGGCGCCGGGCCCCGCTGATGGCCGACGATGTCCACCACTAACAACGTGGCGCAGGCCCGGAAGCTGGTGGAGCAGCTGCGCATTGAAGCCGGGATCGAGCGAATCAAGGTGACCGGGCCGGGCCAGGGCGAGGGGGACACGCGGCCTCCCTGGGGCCCGCGAGGCTGACGGGGCTCAGCTGTGCTTTGTAGGCATCTGCGTTTTGTTCTTTGCAATGAGCCTGTGTGCGTTTTGCATTAATGAAAGCCAAATCGATGGAGGTTCCCGGTCCAGCCGCCGGGAGGCCCAGATGGACCCTAGAGAATAAAGCCTGGCGTGACTCGAAGGTCACTGATGCCAGGCATGTGGGCACTGGTGATGCCATATAACCTTCTAGTTCCGGAACAACCCATCACCCCCAACCATCCCCTCCCCTCCCCGCCCGGGACCCCTGAGTCCACCTCCTGTCTCTGGTGTGCTGTCCTGGGTGGTTCCTGTCTGTGGAGCCCCCATTGTGTGTCCTCTGTCTGGCGTCTCTCTCTGAGCACGGTGTCCTTGAGGTCCCTCCACACTGTGGCAAATGTCACAGCCCCACTCCTTTTCATGGCTGAGTAATATTCCAGTGTGTATGTGGCTGGATTTAGCTGTGCTTACATGGTGACAGTGACTTGTCCCCTCTCAGCACCCCCAGCACCCCATGGCCTCTAGCAGAATGGGGTTCACAGCTTTCAAGACACCACTTGCCAACCTTGTGTCCACCTGACTGGGGATGGCCAGAAGTGCCCACGGGCTGTGTCCTGCCCTGGGACACACACAGCCCAGGCTGGCTCTGGGCACAGGTCCAGGTGGCCCTGCCCTCAGAGACACACTGTGCTGGGCAGGAACAGAGCAGACAGACGGACGGGGAGGGCACCTGCCTGTGCTCACGGCCTGCACAGGGTACTGTGTGACATTTGCACAACTCTCAGTGCGTCAGTGAGGGACACGGCGGTGTCCTCCGAGGGGGCGGCCAGTGTGGGCTTGGGTGCGGAGCAGGCGGCAGGCTGGAGCCAGGCTAGAGCCTGGGGCGAGAGCTGAGGTTTCCCCTCAGATCCCAAGGCCGCTTGGAGGTGCCTCTGTGGGCACATAAGGCCTTCACCTGGTTAGACGAGGCCCGTGCACGCCTCAGAGGGGCAGCCACCTTCAGTCGGTCTGAGAAAACACCACCGCTGGGTGCGGTGGGGCACTGCGTTATGTGACCCCCAGCACTGGGGAGGCTGAGGCAGGAGGATCGTTGCAAGTTCAAGACCAGCCTGGAATCCAAAGTGAGCTCAAAGCTGCCTGAGCTGCATAACAAGACCCTGCCTCAAAAAAGGCAAAAATAAGATTAAATAAATAAATAAAGCAGCTCAGTGGCACAGCACCTGCCTGGCAAGCGCGAGGTCATGGGTTCGATTCCTGGTACCAAAAGCAACCAAACAAAAAATACTAAAAAGAAAGCGGCGTCCTCTGAGCGGGGCGGAGGGACCTGCACGGTTTTCTGTACGCTCTGTAACCCTTCAGGCCTGGGAATGAGGAAAGGGTGACGGAGCCCCTCCCCGCCCAAGGAGGGATGACAGACGCACCCACGGGGCCTCCGGGCCCGCGTTCCGGGGCTGAGAAGGAGCCCTCGGCCGCAGCCCACATCTGATGTCGGAGGGGCCACCTGTCCTCCCCCAAGCCGGTGACCACTGTGACAGCGGGCACCCTGAGAGGTCGGGACCCCGTGTCCAGGCCGTGAGGGAGAGGCTGGCTGTGAATCTGGGGTGCCAGGCTGGTGACCACTGGAGCCCGCGGGGCTGAGCACGGGGACTGAGCTAACAGCACCCCAAATGTGTGGCCGGGAGAGACGGGGAGAGCGGTGGGGCAGGACAACCTGCAACAGGGGTGACCGATGGGGTCCCCAAGTCCCCCGTGGGTTCAGCGGTGACAGAGATGCAGGTCAGAAGCGCTTGCCCTGCCCAGGGGACCCGGCTGGGTGTGACTGCTCATGGCTGGGCAGGCAGGAGGAAAAGTCCCTGCAGAGTCCCCTCCTGGCCAGATGGCACCTCTGTGCCAAGCGACGTCCCCGACTCTTTTTATTTTTTAGTTTTTATTTTGAGACAGGGTCTCGCTAAGTTGCCCAGGCTGGGCTGAAACCTGGAATCCTCCTGCCTCAGCCTCCCAGAGCCCCGGCATGACCGGTGGGCAGCCCTGTACCCAGCTTCCTCTGAATTGTTCAGAGCCCCACCCAAGCCCTCACCAGCGATGTTTGGTGCATTCTCAGTCTCCATCTGGTTCCACAGCACCCCCCCCGGCACCCCAAAACCAACAGTCACCCTGCCCAGCCCCGACACCCACAAGTCTACTTCCTGTCCCTGGCTTCACCTGTCCTGGGCATTTCCTGTCCACGGAGCCCATGCTGTGTGTATCCTTCTGTGTCTGGCATCTTCATCCACATTGTGTTGAGGGTTACAGCCCCGTTCCTCTTCCGGGCTGTGTAATATTCCCGTGTGCCTCTGGACCTCGGTGTGTGCCCCTCTGTCCACCTACTGGCCACCGTGAATGCATGATCAGATGTCCTTTCTCTCTCCTCGTGCACACACAGGTGTCCAAGGCCTCCTCAGAGCTGATGAGTTACTGCGAGCAGCACGCACGGAGCGACCCCTTGCTGGTTGGCGTCCCCGCCTCAGAGAACCCCTTTAAGGACAAGAAGCCGTGCATCATCCTGTAGCGCCGCTGTCCCCCCTCCCCATCTCTGTCTCTGTCTCTGTCTCCTCCTGCCATAAGGGACCCTCGGAAACGGCACAGCCAACACACCTCGGGCCCTGAGCCTTGGATCCCTAAAGAAATGCCCGTGGTCCCCGGCTGCCTCAAGGGGGCCAACGCTGTGCACCTCATGGGGCCGGGTTTTCCGACACAGCCCAACAGCCCCCCTGAGGGGCTCCCCAAAACAGGAACGGTGGCTTCCAAGCCCCCTCCCAGTGGGAACAAGCAGGTGGCCCACGCGCCGTGGCTGTGGTGACGGGGTTGTGACACCTCCACGGCCCGGCCCGGAGGATGGTGGGTAGGGGGTGGGCCAGGGGCAGAAACAGGGTCTCCTTACCGCCGGCCAGGGGCCAGCTCCCTCTGGACCGGCCGCCCGGGACCCAGCCACACAGGGCAGCTGGGATCCTTTTTATTTTGTAAGCAGAGCAACTGGGGGTGCAGGGTTGGCACCCCCAGGGGGAGAAAAAATATCTCTCCATTTAAATAACCGTTACGTCTCCCCACGGAAGCCGGGCCAGGTGACACAGAAATGTCACCCTCTCAGCGACCCTGGTCACCCCACAGCCACGCCCTCCTTGTGACACATCACAGAAATGGATTTTCAGGATTTAGCCGAACGTGGTGGTGCAGGCCTGTCATCCCAGCACTGTGGGGAGGCTGAGGCAGGAGGATCGCTGCGAGTTCGAGGCCAGCCTGGACCTACCCGGGTGTGGGCACTGGGGGTCCGGGCGGGAGGCGGACACAGTGGGGAGGGAACCCGGGGTTCCCACACGGAGCTCCATCGCCAGCCCTTTTTATCTTTTGAGACAGGATTTTGCTAAATTACCCAGGCCGGCCCCCAACTCGAAACCCTCCTGCCTCAGCCTCCCAGAGTGCTGGGAGACAGGCGTGCGCCCCACGTCTGGCCAAAGGCTGCTGAGTTGTCTCACAGTGACCACGAAGGACGTTCTGAGGCAGGGTCCTTGGTCCCAGACGTGACAGCAGCAGCTGTTTCGTGCTTGCCACCGTATCAGTGGTCCTCCATTGAGCCCGTGGGGTGTGGGCCCTTCACTGTGAGGACCGGAGCGGGATCTGCTAGGCTTAGGGTCCCCCCGTCACTCCTCCCACTAGCCCGGTGACGTTAAGATGTCACGGGTAGGGACAGGCCACCCTGCCCTGGGCCCTGGAGTCACAGGGTTCAAGCCGGCAGCCGGCAGTGGAATGACACTTGATGTCAGAATCCAGGGCTGCGGCCAGGACAGTCCCCGGACGGTTGCTCAGGTCGCCCACACTGCCAGCCAGGTGGAGCCGGCAGCCTCAGTGGCTTCCCCAGCACGACTAGGCCAGCAGGGTCCCCAGTGGGCCGGGGCCCGGGGAGGACACAGGCCAGAGTGGGGGTGGCACCAGGGCTGCCCTGGCCCCTTCTGGGGGCTCCGGAGGGCCTCTCCAGGCACTGCTCTCCACGGCTGGTCCGGGAGGGCCAGGGGCTGTGGGGAGCCCAGCTGTGCCCAGAGAGGCGTGAAATCACCCCAAACACAGGAGCCTGGCAGGCAGGGTGCCGGGGCCTGGGGAGGGAGACCGGCCTGATATCCCTCTCCGAGGGACCACGCTGGTCCCCAGCTGTCTTTCAAAGAAGCCTTAATCCTCCGAGTGGGTGTCACACCCCCAACCCCGCACCCCACGGCCCCGCCAGGACCGGGGAGGCGGAGACACAGACGTGCCAAGCCCGGCCCACGGCCCGGCGTCCCCGTGCCCACCAGTGTCACCCAGGAAGCCACCGTACCCAGAGAGGGACCCGTGCAGGACTCAGGGACCCCAGGGTCTGTGCATGCTGGGTAAACTGAGGCAGGTGGGGAAAAACAGGCTGGCCTCCCTGACCAGGACCAGATGGCCACAGCCTTGGGCCCTGGGGGTGGTCCAGGGCAGGACCCACGAGTTTCTCTCTAAACTTAGAAAAGGGAAAAACTCGGTACCCCAGCACCCACCCCACACGGACAGAGGGCTCCCCCTCTTTTAGGTTTCTTCACTTCTCTGTGGCTCGGTGGAGCCCAGGGCCTGGGCGTGGAGCCGCTTCTCCTTGTTTGATTGCTGTAATTCTATTTATTTTGAGGTAAAACCTCACCGGTCACTAAACTGCCCACGCTGGACCTCACCCTCCTGCCTCGGCCTCCCCAAGAGCTAAAATGAGAGCTGGGTGCCCCCCCGGCCTGTCCTGGTCTCCGGGCGCTGCCCCAGGAGGAGGCAGGCAGTGGGGCCACCGCAGCTGCCCGCGCCCCCTGCTGACCCCGTCTGGCCCAGGCCGGCCAGCCCACACCCGTCCCCACCCTCACACTGCAAACTTGGGGGGCAGCAGGCCCAGGACACAGTGGCTCTGTGTGACCCACAGCCCGCTGTGCGCCTCGTCACCCAGGACCGGGCCTGCCTGAAGCCACCTAAGCGCCCTGCCCTTGAGGACCGCGGTCCCCACCAGCCGGCCAGCGGCAGGTCCCTGCAGAAGCCATAGGACGACAACATGGGGGACCTCCGTCCACGGTCACCGCTGCCAACGCCCTCACCCAGCCGGGGTCCCCGTTTCCGGTGGCGACTGCCACGCCCTCCCGCACTGGCCCCCGTGTCTCCTCCTCCCCAGCCAGCGCTTCCCGCCCGGGTCAGCTGTGACCTCGCCAGTCACACACAGTAAAACGCACACTTTTCCTTTCCGGGCTCTGCGTTCGTCCTGTGGTCCAGGTTGGGGTCCGGGGTCCGGGGTAGCTGTCCCCAGCCCTGCCCGGCCAGCCTGGTGTCACGCAGAGACACCACTGAGGGTTGGTGCCACGTGGCCCAAGACTTGTCCCTGATCCTTCTCTTTGGTTTTCTGTTTTTCCTGGGAGTCGGGTCCGGGCTCTGCACCCAGCGCTGGCCTGGCAATGGGGGGCCTGGGGTCCCTCTCCAGCGACACCACCAAAAGAAGCCCGCAGCGGACTCCAGGGACGGAGCAGGGCCAGTTCGGGTGACAGCTGGGGACAGCCTGGGACAGCAAGGACGGGGGCCACAGTGACTGAGCTGGCCGCGTGACCCCGGATGCAGTCCCCACAGACACCCACACGGCGTCCCCAGGCTGCAGGTGGAGGGGGACCCCAGGCCTGGCTCCCTGCTGGTCAGGGCTCCCCTGGGTGTCCAGCTGCAGGACGTCACCGCCGGGGCCCTGTAGAGCTGCATGGTGAGCAGGGCAGGAAAGGGGACCTGGCCACGGCTCGGGTGGCCACAGGACCCTCCGGTCTCCTGGAAAACCCTACGGCAGGCAGGCGCCTTTCCAGAAATTTCCCAGAATCTCAAGGCCATGACCGTGAGGCCTTCAAGCCAAGCAAACACGGGCCCTGGGTGACTCAGGGGTCACACGCCCATGAGGTCGGCTCTGTCTCAGCCACCAAGGTATCCTCCCGGCATCCCGAGGGCTTTGGTTCAAGCTTTTGGAGAACAGGAAGAAATCCCAGCACCTCAAATCCTCAAATGTGGAAACTTCTCAAAAGGGAGCGGGCTCGGGAGGGGACAGGGGTCTGTGTTTCCTGGACAGAGGCTCGCGTGGGGAGGTGGGAGGTCCCGGGGTGGACGGCAGGGACAGCTAGGTGTGCTTGATGCGCTGGAGTAGTTGGTTTTATGTTGTATTTATTTTACTACGAAAGAAACCCACTCCATCAAGCCAGAGTCCACCTCAATGACTACAAACTGGGGTTTTTTGGGGGGTGGGGGAGCAACCCAAACTGTCCAAGATGGCCCAGGAGAGGGTGTCCTGGCAGGGCCACCTCGGCAAACAGTCTGGCGTTTTCCTGTAACTCGGGGCACACCCAGGCTGTGACCCAGCGTGGCCACTGGCTGTTTACCCAAGGGAAGTAAAAACACGCCCCCAAAGATCTTGCAAGCCACGCTCAGTGGCCTTCCTCACAGGAATGAGACCCTGGAAAGAGCTCAGGTATTCAGCCACAGGAGACTGCTGGCATCCAGCAGGCCGGGAGGCTGAGGCAGGGAGATCCTACACTCAGCCGCAGCCTGAGCAACGTGGCCACTCAGCGAGACCCTGTCTTTTGGTTGGTTTGTTTGGTGAGGTGCCTCTCTATGGGGTTCATAGACTTGAATTCACAGTGTGGCCCAGGCTGGCCTCAAACTCTCCACAATTCTCCTGCCTCAGCCTCCCCAGGGCTGGGATGACAGGCGCATTAGCTACCTCACCCAGCGTGAGACCTTGTTTTAAAATTTAAAAAGCTTTAAAAAGGGCTGGGACGGACCTCACTACAAAAGCCCTGGGTTCAAACTCCAGTACCGCAAGAAAAATAAAAGACCAGGCTCCTGTGATTGTAACAGTAACAGTCACAGAAACTTCGTGCTCCAGGAAATAAACCTCACACTGAGCAGGACGTGTGATTCCGATCACAGTAAGCTGTGAAACACACAATCCTGAGAGCCACATCCACACCCTCATCCCAGAGGCCTGAAATGTGTCACCTGAGGTGAAAGACATTGCAGAGATTCAGCTGAGGAGTTTAGTTTTGTTTCTGTTTTGTTTGTTCCTCCCCCAGTGCCGCTGTTTGAACCCCGGCCCTTTGTTATTTTTTTTTATTTTGAGGCAATATCTCGGTACATTGCCCAGGCCGGCCTGGCACTTGCAACCCTCCTGCCTCAGCCTCCCACAGCACTGGGAGGACAGGCGTAGGTGCCCCCTCCCTGACCAGGTTAGGAATCTTGAGATGGGAGGTTATCGTGGGCTATCTGAGGTGGCCAGTGTAACTGCAGGGTCTTTATGAGGGGGACAGGAGGGACAGAGGCAGAGGAGGCCATGGCGTAGGGACAAGAGGGTGGAGTACATAGGTCACATGCCAAGGGATAAAAGAGAACCCCAGGCACCGGGAGCCGTCAGTCTCCAAAGGCGACCACTCCAGCTACGGGACATTATGCAAAAGGCAAAATTACAGAGTAGGCCTAAGAGTCCTCTGAACCCAAGCCAAAGTACCTTCAGCTGGTAGCAGGTCACCACATAACCGTGTATGGGGGCCCCCTCGGGACCTGAGGCTGGCGCCAGCAGCAGCCTCTTTTGGGGTGCGGGGGTGGGGGGACCACAAGCAGCAACCTGCCCTTTACCTGAGTCAAACAAGAAAAGGATTCGGAGGCTGGATGTGGTAACACACACCTGTCATCCCAGCACTCGGGGAGGCCGGGGCAGGAGGATCTCCCGTTCAAGCCCAGCCTGGGCAGCATAGCAATGCAGTGACACCCTATCTCAAAACTAAAAAAAAAAGGGAGGGGGGGAGCTGGGAATGATGCTCCATGCAAAGGCTGTGGGTTCAGTTCCGGTACCATAAACACACAAAAAATTAAAAACCAAACTCAGCGTCACCTGAGGCAAACCTTAGGTGCTCCAGGAAAGGCTGGAATCCCACCACCACCACCCTGGCCTCCTCTGGGCAGCCACCCGGGGCGGAGGGAGGGTGTGCTGTGCATCTCTCGGCCTCCTCCTTAGCAGCCCCTCGGGCCAGCCCTGAGGAACAGCGCTGGGGTCTCTAAGACTGCGGCCGCTCGCGCAGCGCCCCCCACTGCGATGGCAGGGGCTGGAGGGTGGGCTGCCGGCCCTGGAAATCGCTCCAAAAGGGACAATGCGGTGCCTCTGCAAAGGGACAGGAGCGGCCAAGTGTGCCACCCACTGAGGTCTGTGCTTCCGGTGACTCGGCTCCGTTTCCTGGTCCCGCAGGAGCCGACCCACTTCCCCTCTGGTCGGCCTGAGGGTTCCCCTGCGTTTCTGGCCGTTCCCTTCGGGGTGACAGCTGTCTTACAGCCCGCTGCCCCCCACAAACACATCCTGCCTGCTGTCCCGGAAACCAGATGGCCCAGGCCTCAGGCTCCGGCCCCTTTCTGTGCAGAGCCTGGCTGGGCCACGCTTCCCGGCCTCTCCAACCCGCTGCTGGGTGCCAACCTCGGTCACCATCTGGGGACAGGTTCAGGGGTCAGAGTGACAGGGGACCGACAGGCTTGGAGGTTAGGGCTGGGCCTGAGTGGCTTCACACTTCGCCCACGGTTTCTAGGAGGGAGCATGGTTGCCAGGGAGGCCAGGACCTGCTCCCCAGATCTGTCCCTCACAACTGTGGGTCCCTAACCTGGACCACCAGGGTGAGCCTGAGTGAGGCCCCGCCCATCGCGAGGCTCCGCCCACATATGGCTACAGAGCAAGGCGGACCCACAAGGCCTCAAACCCTGCTCCTAAGCCTCTGATTGGCCGAGTACTTAAGGACGCCTCACACTATACGCATGCGCAAACACACAGCTTCCGGCAGGACTTCTTATCAAGAGCCCTTGCATCCCAGGTTAGATAAAGGGACCAGTTGAAGCGCTAAGGGGTAAGGCGTGTCGGTCTGTACCCATCCTTCTCTAGCTGTCAGTGAGATCTTAGCACAGCAGCTTGTCACCTCTGGTTAAATTCCTTCCATGACAAATTGGAACTTGTGGCCTAGTCACCCAAGGGAATACTATACAGCTATTTTTTAGTATGACTCAACAATCCAATGAGACGAACTAGAACGTTTTTATTATGAATATGCTCTAAACATCACATGACACCTAGGCATGCTAAAATTATTAGCGGTTTATCTAAAACTCGAATTTAATCCAGAATCTTGTGTTGCATGTGGCAATCCCATTTATAAGCACTTAGCACTGGGACCACATGATCGATACCAATGATGGCTTTGTGCTTGAGGGACCCCCACAGTCCCGGGCCCAGCAAAGTCTGGTAAGAAGTGATGTCGTCGGAGGCCAAACAACGGCCTCAGAGATGTCCCTGTCAAGTCCGTTCGGCCTGGCAGAGTTCCACAGACTTAGCACAGGGAATTAATAGTCCTGGGATAAGACTGTCCCAGAGTACACAGGGAACTCGGTGTCAGGGCCCCCCAAGTCTCGCCGAGCAGGGGCGGGAGGATGAGAGGCCGTTCTGCAGGCCCTGCACATGGAGGAGGGGGCTGCAAGCCGAGGGCTGCTGGTGCCTCTAGGAGCTGGAGTAGGGACCCGGTTTCTCCCCAGAGCTTCTGGAGGAGCAGCCCTGCCCCTGTACCTTGGATTTTAGGCCTGGAAGGCTGATTTTGGGCATCTGGTTTCCAGACTGTTAAAGAGAAGCAACCAGTGGCAATCGGTTACGGCAGAGGTAAGAATCTCACAAATACTTGCACAATGAGCGGAGAATGGATGACAGTGCAGGAAGCCGCTCAGGGTATGGGTCAGAGCGGAGGGTCAGAGCCTGTGCTGGCCACCACGTGGCTCCTGTCAGCAGACCGGGCCTGAGAAGCGACCCCTGAGCCTCAGTTTCCCCATCTGGAATTCAGGCAGGCCCGAGTAAAGCAAGTGCCCTGAAGTGACCCAGGTTCCAGGGCCTGGAATGTAATGAAACCACCCCACCCACAAAGCCCTCTCTGTGCCTCAGTTTACCCCCTCAGGATCCCCTCCCAATAACCCTCCCCTTGGGGACTAGGGACTCACCCTACCAAGGGGTGTGGAACTCAAGATCCGCTCTCAGCAGAGCGGAGGCCAGCGTGACAGCCTGGAAAGGAGGGGAAAGGTCAGTCAGGGAGCCCCACCCCACCGGCAGAAGGCATTCAGGTGTGGGGTGACAGGATTCCAGAAAGGCCAGCTCATCCGGAACTTGAGGCGCCTTTGAAAACTTCCCTCCACAACCAGGAGACACGGGGCCTCCCCACTCTGAGAGGTGGGGTCCCTGCCCTTTCTTTCCTTGGGAGACTCGCGTGGGTGAAGGAGGAGGAGGAGGCAGGGCGGCCAGCCCGACTGGAGGACTCACCAAAGATGCTAAAAATAGCCAGGGCACTGGTTGCAGTAGCTTCCCAAAATAGAAAGCACCCCCAGGCCCCATGAAGGCCTGAGCTGGGCAGCAGCTAGAGAGGGGCGGGATTTGAGACAAGGTGGCCAGCGGCGGGGACCCCTGCCCCTCAACACTCCCCCCCACAGTCCCAGGGCTGGAGGGTGCAGCAGGTCGGAGTGGCCGCCCTCCCCCTCGGGAGGGTGCAGGGACCTGGAACGGGCACCCCCTCCTCCTCCCCAGGATCCCGGCCCCAGGACTGCTGACCTGGGCACTGGGAGGACCCAGCCACTCAAGCTAAAAATAGCTGTCGCCTACTCCCAGGCTATATTTAGAAACTGCTCGCCTCGGTGTCCTCAGGAAGGCAAGCTGGGCACACCCCGGCCGGCAGGCTGGACGCCCTGGCTCCTCCGCTGCGGCACCGCCCCTGGCCACCACAGACACCAGCGATGGGCTGGGACCCACCATATGGACAGATCGGGCCTGGGCGCCCGGCTTGCTGGGTGGCATCAGGACAGCCACCCACAGGCCCCCTCTGAGCCTCTATAGGGTAGCCGAGAGGGAGTGGCCAGGTGTGATGCCACGCGCCTGGCATGCCAGCACTCTGTCCCGGACTCTGAGGCAGGAGGACTGCAAATTCCAGCCCAGCCCGGGCATTTTCTCCAGACCCAGTGGAAATAAATTACAGTATCATCATCCTCATCCCAGCACTCTGGGAGGCCGAGACAACAAGATCTCAAATCCAAAGCCAGCCTGGGCAGTTTAGCAAGACCCTGTCTCAGCGAGGGCTGGGGACGTAGCTCAAGGCGGAGGCCCGAGTTCAGCCTCCTGTTTGAGAGGAAAAAAAATAAGCTCCTTTTTCTCCAAGTTCCCCTCCACCTCCGCGGGCTCCAGCAGCTTCGGGCTGACGTCAGCGCATCCCGGCCCGGCTCCCCGCGCGGGCGCCGCCGTCACGGGCGTTCCTGCGCCAGGGAATCCCGGCCCCCGCGCGCCGGAGGAAACCCGTGACGCCAGCGCCCCGCCGCCGCAGGCTTCCGGGGAGGGCGGGGCCGCCCACCCCCACGCCGGCCCGGAGCGCGCGCCTGCGCCGTTGGCTCCCGCCACCCGCGCGCTCGTGCCCAGAGGCCCACAGACCCCCGCGCACGCACGCTCTGCGTGGAGGCGCGCACGAGGCCCGGGCGCGCGTGTGCAGGCTGCAAGCTGTGGACACGGTCCCGCGTGCAGGGCGCTGGAGTGGGAGCTCGGGCTGAGCCTGCAGCTCCTGGGCACGCACACGCACACGCGCACACACACACGTGCACACGCACACACGCTCGCTGTGCAGGTGCCGGGGCCTGTGGGCGCGGGACTCCGTCTCCGCTGCAGTCTGGGAGCTAATTACCGCCAGCACCAGACGCCCGGCTGGAAAGATGAAACATCCTCGTCTGCGGCGGCCCGTCTGGGCTGCGGGCCCCGCGGCAGCCTCCCGGGCCGGGTGGAGCCGGGGCGCAGCGCGAGCCTGCGGGGCGCCGGGAGAGCGCAGGGCGCTGGGGGCGGCAGGGGGCCGGGCCTGTGATAACCCTGCACCGCCCGCCGTGCCCACCAGGAGAGCCGGCGTGGAGGTGCCCCGGGCGGCTCGGGGTGGCACCACCAGAAGCGGAGGCCACGGCCGGGTCCAGCGCGCTGGGGAGGTCTGTCCAGAAAGGCTGAAGGAGGGGGAAGCCTGACAGACACACAGGACACCAGACACAGGCGACCCGGCGTGGGCTCCACGGACAGGAAACGCCCAGGACAGGCGACTCCGGAGACAGGGAGGGGACTCGGGAGTGCAGGGGGCCGGTGGCTGCTGGGGGGGTACTTACTACCACGGGACCAGGGGGGACTGTTGAGGGAGGCCTCATACGTCTTGATCATATGAAAAATAATGTGAAATAACAGAAATAAAATGACCCGGATGGAACCAACTGTGGCCCTGTGTGCAGGTCCCAGGACTGGAAAAAATTTGTTTTCTGCTATTTGTTATACTTTAATGAGTGTAGCTTTAAAAAAATAAACTTGAAGTGTTTGTAAAAGTACAGGAATAGAGAGGAACAGAAAAGAAACAAAACACAGTAGCCGTTACTTTGATTGCCACTGTTGGGGGTCCAGTGTGTGTGCCCCATGAAAGGTTCCCAAAGAAGGGGCATAAATATCTTGGGGTCCTGGGGCTTCCCCCTCTCTCTCTCTGTCTCCATACACATATGCATGCTTGGAAATTGCACACCTGCATATCCACAAATACCCACAAATGCACATGAACGTGTACACACACACATGAGCCCAAACCAATTCCTACAAACACGTGCACACAGACATAAGCTGGGGGGCGGCACACACCTGTGATCCCAGCACTCCTGGAGGCTGAGGCAGGAGGGTCACTGTGAGCTCCAGGCCACACTGGGCTCCATAGCAAGATCCTGTCTCGAGAAACTCAAAGTCTACGAAGTGAAACAAAAGCACACAGGCACACACGCAGTGGTGCACACCCGTGCACACCCCAGCAGGGCAGGGGCAGGGGACAGAGGGGCCGTGTGGCCAGGACCAGGTCTGTGTCTCGGCCCCCATGGCGTGAGTCTGGCCATCTTTGGAGGTGGCCTCTGCTCTGTCCCAGAGAGGACTTAGCCTCCCCTGCCCTGGGCTCTCACCCTGCCAGCCCCTCCCTTTCCTCCCAGCGAGGGCCCAGCCCTGCGGCACCATGGGCACCCCTGTTTCTGGGGGTGGGAGGAGGACTGGTCCTGGTCCTCAGACTGTGTCCCCAGCTGGCCAGAGAGACCCTCCCCTCTCTGTCCTGGGATTCCCCTCCTCTGCAATGGAGTGAGTTTCTGAGGGCACCCTGGCACTGCTTTGCCAAGACACCCACCCTGCATCCCTTTTATCTGTGTCCCACAGCAACATCCTAAAAGTCCCAGACGCTCAAATCATGGAGGTAGTGACAGAGAGGCCTCAGGGCTCCCCGCACAGTGGGAGGCCCTCCAGGCCCGGCTGCCACCCTGTGGCTTCTGAGAGGGGACCAGGAGAGATGGCAGACACTGGCAGATACCAGGGAGAAAAGGGGGAGATTACGGGTGCAAAAGGAGGTCCCAAGCCGGATGTGGTGGCGCACTCCTGTCCCGGCACTCGGGAGGCTGAGGCAGGAGGAGCGCTGTGAGTTCGAGGCCAGCCTGCACTGCACAGCGAGACCCGGACTCAAAAAGCAACAGTAAAGAAGCAAAGAGCCGTCATTCCGGCGGCCTGGGCTCCTTTTCCACGGACTCGGCTCCCAGGACTTCTCTGTGCTCAGGATGCACAAACTGCTGGTTCTCAAGGGCGCTCAGGGCCCGCGTCCACCCTGATGCTAACCAGACATCAGCGCCAAATGCACTGCCAGGCACCAGGACGCGCGGTGGGCGTCATGCAGGCGGCTCTGTCCCGTAGGCCCGGGGGGGGGATTATGAGCTCCACCCTCCGCGGGGCGACTGCAACACAAGATGGTGAGCCTGCGTGCATTCATGAGGGACAGGGTCTAGGCCCCTATGCACATGCACGCATGCGCACGTCCGGCGGTGAGTGGGTCCATCCGGGTCCTGTGCCGGCTGGTCGGGCTGCCAGCCCCGCCCATCTTCCGAGAGCGCCGGGGCAGGTGGGGCCCAGCCGGAAGCCTCTCCCAGCTGCTGTGCCCAGTTTCAGGGAAGCCAGAGACTGGCACAGTGCCCATGGAGACTGCCAGCCCTTGCACCTGCCCTGCGGGGTTCCCGGAAGCCTGAGGCCCAGCCCCCTGCTTCCCTGAGTGCACCTCCCCAGCCACAGGGAGGGTGGCACGCCACCCCTGCTGCCCCCCAAGTCACAGCTGCAAGAGAGGGGGCTGGGGCCTGCAGGATGCGTCCTATCCAACGTGGCACATTCTCACTTCCGGTGGATCTCTGGACGGGGTGGGGGTTTGTTTTGTAGACTTAGGGGCTTGCATGCTTATTATTTGGGTACTGAGGATGTAATCCAGGCCTATTCACTAAGCTAAATCTCCAGCCCTTTCACCTTTTAAAATTGGATCTTATTTTCACATTTATTTATTTGTTTCTCTTTGTCTTTTTGAGACAGAGTCTCTCTGTGCAGTTCAGGCTGGACATGAGCTCACTTTGTAGCCCAGGCTGGTCTCGAACTTGCAAGATCCTCCTGCCTCAGCCTCCCCAGTACTAGGGTGACAGTTGTGCACCGCCACACCCAGCTTTCATATTTATTTCTTAAACAGGGTCTTGCTAGAGGCTAACGTGCCCTGGCTGGGTTTAAATTTGCGATCTTCCTGCCCCAGCCTTCCAGAGTGCTGGGGTTACAAAGAAAAATTTTTAAATTTATTGGGGGGCGGGGCTGGGGATTGAACCCAGGGCTTCCCATGCAAAGACAGCCTCCTTGCACTGAGCTAGGCACCCAGCCCCACAGTGAGCATTTGGGGGTTTTTGTTGTTGTTTTGGGTTTTTTTGGACCGGGGATCAAACTCATGACCTGGCACTTACCAGGAAGGCACTTATGCCACTGAGCTAATTCCCCAGCCCCACTGTGAGCATTTGACCTTGGAAATGTCTGGGGTAAGTGGTAGAATGTGGGGGTGCGCGCGTTGGGGGCTCGCGTAGACTCGGCCCTTAGGAGAGCGTGGCTGCCTCTGCGCAGTGTCTGCACGCAGTGGGTCCTGCACGCATCCGGGTGCGGGCTCTACACAGCAGGGCTCCTCATGGGAGATGCGGCTGCACACAGCAGCTCCGGGCTCCAGCCGCGGCCCGTGCATCTGAGCACGCACCCGGGCTCCGCGCCGCGCGGCCCCGGCCGGGCAGGTCAGGCGGCTCCGCGGCCGTGGGGCGGGCGGCCTGGCAGGGAAGCTATTCCCGGCTCTGGCGCGGTGCCCGGGCCCTGCGCGCCAGGCCGCCCGGGGAAGGCGCCTCACACAAGGAGGGTCTGTGCAGACGCCCCGCCCGCCGCCGCCGCCAGGGGCCGAGGAGGGAGACGCCACCGGGGCCGCCGTGGGCGCGGAACCCCCCAGCCGCGCGCGCCGCAGACACCGCGCCTGGCGGGCACCAGAGCGGGCCTGGCACCGCGCGCCCCGGAGGGGGTTGGCGGCCGGCGGCCGGCGCGGGGGGCTCGGAGGACTCGGGCTGCGCGCCCAGGGCGCATTGGAGAGGGGCGCTGGAGAGGTGCACAGGCCCCACAAATGGAGACCTCAGAGGGACAGAGCCCTGCGTTGGGCGCGCTTGGAGATGTCTGTCTCTAGCTCCCCGCCCCTGTCTCCAATTATCCAATTTAGGGAGCTGGGAAGCCGGGAGGGGCGTCTGGGGCTCAGGTCAGCGCCCCTCTCCGCCCCGAAAAGTCTGTGGAGAGAGGGCGGGGTGGCGGGAGGCGTAATGAGGGTTCTCTGGGTGGCGCGCTCTGCAAAGCGCCATGCGTGCGCCTCGGGTTGCAGCGTGGGAGGGCCCGGCGCCTTTCCCCGGTATGGGCGGGGAAACTGAGTCACGCCGGTTGCGCCGTCGTGGCTAGTAAGTGGCAGGCACAAGATGCAGACCGGAAGCTCAGCGGGGCTGCGGCGCCTCCCCGACGCTACCCTAACACGCGGTGGAGGCATTTACGGTGTGCTGCACCGAGGTCGCCCCCCCCCCGACAGGTCCACGCCTGTCATCCCGGGTTTGGGGGTCCCTGGTGCGTGTGATCGCTCCTGGAGCGCATGAGCGTACGCGAGAGGCCCTCTGCGGACACCCCCCCCCCCCCGCTCCCCCGGGGCCTGGGAACAGTTCCGGGTCCGGAGGTGGAAGGGGCCGCAGCCCCTTCTGTAGCTGGGGTGCGGTGTGGCTGCGGGATCCCAGCGTCCTTGGGGCGGAAGGGGTGACCTTCACATTTGTGCCTCTGCGGATCATGGCGGGGAGAGGTGTCCTCTGACACTTTGGCTCCCTGGGGACAGTCACCTCCCTGGGGGGCTCGGGGGTCACCGCAGCTGCCTTTTTCTTTGTGAGACCCCACTTCCTCCAGACAGCCCCCTGATCTCCCGCTCCTCCTCCTGCACCCCAGGCTGAATCCTGTCAGATTTCAGGCACACGGGAGAAGGGGGGGGGGTCACCTGGTGGAAGGAGCCTGTGACTAAGCATGGGGGTCTGGGAAGTGCAGACCTCGCGGACCTGTGTCCAGGGAGTCCCTGAGAAGGTTTGCAGAGGGCTGTGGCCTGGGACACGGGACAGGACCCTGTCGGAGCCAGGAGGAAGCTCTCCCGGGCTCCTGCAGCTTCCGGGCAAAGGGGACGCTGGCTCCAGGAAACAAGTCAGTGACCTGGGGACCTGGATGCCCGCAGAAGCTGGCAACTGACTGTGTCCCTGGGTGAAGTCTGAGAACCCCCCTGAGTGAGCGAGAGAGATGGGGTGCAGCTCTGCAGTGAATGCTCACCTCGAAGACCCCGGCCCAGCCCGGGGGTTCCAGCCCAGCACCCCACACAGAAGAAAAATAGCAAGAAAAAGTAAAGTTGGTCCTGGCTGTGCACCCGTGTCATTTCAACACTCAGAAGGCTGCAGGGGTGCTGCATATTTGAGGCCAGCCTGGGCTCCATGGTGAGGCCTTGTCTCAAAAAACCCCTAAACCAAAACAAACAACAACAAAAACAAAACAAAAAGCAACCACATGGTGAAATGTGCCATTCTGAAGGAGGCAGGTGAGGGGGGGGGCAGAGTGCAACCGACCACACGCGTGATCTGTGACTACGCCCTGCTCCTCCCGTGTGTCCCCACGCTCACGGGGTGCCCCTGCACTGCTGGGGTCCCAGGCAGGTGCTCTGGCCCACACCCAGAGCCAACCGTGCAGCTTCCAGCCGCAACAGACGCCATGGGCCCCAGAGAAGGACACCAGAGACGGAGGTCACCCAGCATGGGCGCCGTGGACAGGAAGCACCTAGACAGGTGACTCGGGGATGCCTCTGACCTGCAGGCTTTAAAACGATTAGTTTTTGCTGGGTGTGGTGGCAGGAGGATCGCTGTGAGCTCGAGACCAGCCTGGGCTACAAAGTGAGCTCAAGGCCGGCCTGGACTGCACGGCGAGACCCTGTCTCAGAAAGACAAAAAAAAAAAAAAAAAGAAAAAAGATTAATTTTATGATATATGGATTAGATCTCTAATGTGGTGATATATTAAATATGTATTGTGTGTATTTATGTGAAAACAGTCCTAATTTTTTTCTTTGTTTCCTTTGGCTTTGTTTTGATTTGTGGATACAGAATTTGATTCTATGGTTCAGGAAACCACAAGTTCACTATGTAGCCCAGGCTGGCCTTGAACGCGCAGTGTCGCCCCTGCTGTTGGGGACACACCACTGCTCCCCAGGGACCTCTGACACCCCAGGAAAGTGAGCCCCCAGGGAGGCTGGGAGATTTGCCCATGGTAAACCGGCGAAGCCAGGATTCGAACCCTGTGACAGGAAGTACGCGCGTGGAGATGAGCAGGTGACGGCGAGCCTCTGGGTACACACATGGGAGTATGCCTGTCTTCGTGTGTGTGTGTGTGTGTGTGTGTGTGTGTGTGTGTGTGTGTGTGTGCAGCCCGGAGCTGGCCCCACCAAGTACGCCATCCTCAATGTTCAGAAAACACAGATGTACACTGACACTGTGTCCCGAGGGCGGGACTCGGCCCTGGTGACTTCTGGCCCAGCATGAACTTGGCAGGCTCTGGGGCTTCCCCGGGGACGGACCAGACACCAGGGAAAACCAGGCAAGGTGCCGGCCGGCTCCGGCTCCCAGGCTGGGGAGGCTGAGGCGGGAGGACCAGCAGCAGTCCCGGTTCCTCTGGACTACGTAGTGAGACCTCGTCTCAAAAACAAAACTAAACCCAGAGAATCAGCAAAACTGCAGACCGAATCAGGAAGTGTCTCGGCTGGACCCGGAGCCGCAGGGAACAGTCAGCAGCGCTGACTGTCTTGTTTATAATTTTGAAATTTTGTTCACCATGGATTTTTTCCACATCCATTTGAATTTTTAAAAACACTGCCTGAAAACGTTCTTTATCTTTTGCCCGCTGAATTCTTTTTTTTTTTTTTTTTTTCGGTCTTTTTTCTTTTTATCGGTCCCAGGGATCGAACTCATGACTGCCCGCTTGCAAGGCAGGCACTTACGCCGCTGAGCTAAACCCCCAGCCCCCCTGCCCGCTGAATTCTTTAAAAGCTCACTGAGAGGGGCTGGGGATTTAGCTCGGCGGCATAAGCGCCTGCCTTGCAAGCAGGCAGTCGTGAGTTCGATCCCCAGTACCAATAAAAAGGGAAAAAAAAAAAAAAGCTCACTGAGGTTGTGGTGCCCAGAGTGAACCCAGGGCCTCTGCCCTGAGCTCCCAGCCACAGCTCCCCTTCATGTCTAAGACAGGCTCTTGCTAACTGGATAAATTGCCCAGGCTGAGCTCTTGAGATCCTCCTGCCTCAGCCTCCCACAGTGCTGGGTTGACAGGCAGGTGCCACCACTTCTGGCTGCCCATTGTCCCAGCCCGAACAATTGAACAATTCACAGGGCGGGATTGAAGGTCACCCTGGAAATTCACAAATCCTAATGAGGGTGCCAGGAGTGTTAGTTAATCACAGCTGATCATGTTGAGACTTTCTGTGTCATGCATACTAATCAGAGCGCTGCCGTCACTGAGGGAAGGGATATAGATTTCAATGCTTCCCTGAAAAATCCGCAGGGTAGATTATGCATTCGGGGGAAACTGAGGCAGGAGAGGTTAAGATCCTAGCTGAAGGCCCCACAGCTGGGGCTCCACCCTGTTTGGCCCTGAGGCCCTGATCCAACAAGCACAAGGTACACACAGGCAGAGGCCAGGGAGGTGGGTCAGAGGTCACACTGCCCTTGGGGACAGCCAGGATCTGCAAGGGGACAGATAAACTGTCCCACACCCCGGCAGATGGGTCCTGCAGGACCCCTGGTCTCTCCAGGGGCAGAGCCCCTGACGTCTCCCCAGTGCCTGGGCAACCCCCTGAACCCCTAGGACTCCAACCAATTCACCCCATCCTCTCACCCTGGGTTTCCAGCCCACCCCCACCCCCGCCCGCCCCCTCACGGCTCCCCACTCCCTGAGGGATCCCCGCGCCTCCCGTCGGGACTTCCCCTTCCCTTCCCTCCGGCGGGGCTCCCCAGCCCCGTGACTGCCAAGCGCCCGGGGGGTTTCCTCGGCGCCCACGCGCGCTTGGTGGAAAGGTCGCGGCCTGCGGTGGGACCCTCCCCGCCCCTGTGCTTCTGATTCCCAGGCCCGGAGCCCAGAGAACCCTGGGGCCCGCTTCCACCCCGGAGGCGCGGGGCGGGGAAACTGAGGCCCGGCAGATGCTGGGGGCGGAGCGAGGGGGCTGGGGGCGGCGCCGCGCATGTAATTTCTGGAGAGTTGAAGGCGAACTAGTTGAGTTTCGGTTTAGCAGCGAAACCCTGCCTGTGCCAAGCCCAGCGGGGTGGGAGGCCGCTTCCTGGGGTATCTTCCTGCTGGGTGATTTCAGTTTGTGCAGAAAAAACCTTTTGATACCATTAAGACGGAGGGGGCTGGTGTGCGTGGGTGCGTGCCTGGGAAAGGGGCGCTCCTGCAGCCATTGAGGGATCCCCCCCCCCCGCCAGCTCCTCTGCAAAGCCTGAGGCCGTGTCCCCTCCCCACTGACTTGGGCTGTGGTCAGGGACCTCGGCCAGCAGTGTCACTAGAGGTGGGGAGGCCGCCACCCGGGGTGCCAGAGCTTGGGGTTGGCTCCGAGCAGCCGGTCACAGCGAGGCACGGTGACCAGGTTTTGTAATAAACCCGTCTGTTAACTGCTACAGGGCAGGAGGAGGAGAAAGAGAGGGAAAACAAACTGCAAAGATTTGTGGAATTGGGTGGTGGCGCCGGCCGCGGGGAAGGTGTCGCAGGAGAGGCGCCCGGCTGCTAATGGGAACCTAAGGGACACTTCCGGGTGAGCTGGGGGGGGGGGGAGAAGCACACCGCGGGACCCAGAGCTTTGAGAGAAATTTATTACAAGGCCAGCACAGTGGAAATAAAAATAGAAGTCTGCACGCTTCGCGGCCCTGACAGGCTCCCGAGTAACGCGCCAGGTGCAAAGTAACAACACAGAGTCTGTGGTTTGCAAGCTGGGAGCTCCCGGTGCCGCGGGCTCCAGCCCTCTGCGCTGCGCCTGCATTTGTCTCCGGTCCCTCCAGAAGAGTGGGGACGCCGTGGCGCTCCCCACTCGTGCAGTGTCCATCCAGGCCCTCTGACACCACGGCGGGGGCGACAACAGCTCCTCCTTCCGGCCGCTGCCCCTGAGGCCTGGGTTCCCGGAACCCCTTCTCCTGCTGGCCCGCGGTGGGGGGGTCCCCGCTTCTCCTCTCCCGGTGGCTGCCACCCGGGGCGCTGCTTCCGGCTCTGTCCCCTCCCCGGGGTGGGGGGAGGTGGCCCCACGCTCCCCTCTGCTCGTCCTCAGTTTCAAGTGACTCTTCTGCCCCCGTGGTCTGGTGGGTTGGGTTGTTTTGGGGGGGTTTCTGGTGGGGAGGGGGTCCAACGCTTATTATTTTTGGCAGCAACAGCTTTCGTGGCTGGGGGCCCTCAGCGCTCCTGCAGGGAGATACAGGGCACCCACTGATTGTTGCCGCGGCTCTCTTGACAGTAACTGGCCACTTCCACCAAGCCGCGGCTCTTCCAGGCGTCCGTGTGCGGGTTCTGGTGGGGAGCAAAAGGAGGGGTTCAGTGGGAGCCCCAGGCGGGGGAGGGGATCCACCCGCCCCACCGCCTCTTGGGGAAGCCAGGGGCGGCTGGACAGGGCTGCCCGGCTGGTGAGGCGCTGACCGCGGCCCACGGGACATGCCGGGCGCGGCTGGCCGCTGAGCTGTGCGGCTGCCCGGCTGACTTTGTTGACAAACAAGAGCCCGCGGTGCCGGGCGGGACGCGCTCACCGTGACCAGCAGGCAGTGCAGGTCCCGGGCCTCGGCGGCGCCCTGCGTCTCGGCCGGCTCCCCCAGCAGCTCCGCCAGCCGCCGCATGCCGGACACCCTCACGATGTCGATGTCGTTGTCACAGCAGAAGGACTGGATGAGCGTGAAGTGGATCTGCAGCGCGATGTCGTCCTCCTCCTCCTCGTCGATGGCCAGGAGGCACAGGACCACGCTGTCAGGGTCCCTGAGGGCGGGAGGGGGAGGGCGGGTCAGGGGAGGGCGCCCCAGGCCGTGGGAAGGGCCCCCCACTGCACAACCGGGCTCAGAGGCGGGAGACCGCGGGAGGGTGCACACAGCCGAGGGCAGCGCGGGCAGGGGGCTCAGGCTCGCGGGAAAGACGGGGAGGGGACTTTAGGGGGCTTGCAAATGGCCCAGGGTCAGGGTGCTGCAGGTCCCTCCCCGTCCCAGAGCCCAGGAACCCGGGTCCGAGGCGGGGTGCATTCACCCGGGGGCGTCCCCAGCCCCCTGCACGAGCCTGCGGGGCGGAGGGAGGGTTCTGACTCACACATTCATGAGCTTGGCCGACTCGTACACCCCCACGGTGAGGCGGTCCTGCCGCTGCGCGGCCACCAGCAGCTCCTCCACCGCAGCGGTCACCGTCTGCATCCTGGGGTCACGGGAGAGGAGGGTTGGCGCCGGGAGGACCCCCAGGCAGCCCCGGCCCGGCCCGGACACCGTCGGTGGTGGGAACCCGGTACTTACTTCTGAGCTGCATTGTCACACGTCACGAGCTCCTCCAGCGTCATGGTGCAGTTATAATCCACAGTGATGCGCCCCACGTCAGTCCCCAGGGGGAAATTGCAAAATTTGAGCCAAACAAGTCAAATGTTTCCAAGACGCCTGTATCTTCCAAGAGCTTCAAGGACGCAAGCGAGATCTCCTCCGAAAAGAACAAGAATGAAAAAGGAAAAAAAGCCAGAGAGATCACAAAGTCCTCAGCGAAATTAATCCAAGTAGTCGCGAAGAGAATCAAACCCAGTCTCTTGCTTCAGCAATGTGAGTGCTGCCGCCAGGCGCCGCCTTTTATAGCCTTGTGGAGGCGGAGCCTGTCCGTGGAACGTTCCGCCCACCTCTTCTATTGGTGGAAAAACAAAAGCGAGAGTAGCAAGCGCTAGGATTGGTCGGCGGCGGAGAGTGGGTGGAGCGCCGCGCGACGGCGCCCCACGTGGGGGCGAGAGCTGGAAGGAGGGGGGGCCGAGTGCCAGAAAAGAAAAAAAAAAAAAAAAACAGAAGTTTTTCTCTTGATTTCCCGGCAGCCGCGCCGCGGTTCAGGGTGCGCGCGGGATTTCCAGCGCGTGAGGCGGCCTGGAATTTCGGGGTGGGGGGGGCCTTGGAATCCCCTCCGTCTCCCTGGAGAGTCCCAAGCCTTAGCTTTTCCCAAGCTTTAGTCAACGTGGTTGCAGGGGGAAGGGGCTCGGTTTGCAGCCCGGTTTCTCCTAAAGCGGAAATTGGGGGTTCTTTCCAAGCTGTGGGGACCCTAGACCTTGGAGATCTTAACTTCCTAAGGAATGCACCGCCGGCCTCATTGGAGGGCGCATCCAATAAGTGCTGGGGGGGGGGTCGCAAGGGGATTCTCCAAGGTTCCCAAAAGCGAGGTCTGCAAGGGCCACCTCTGGGTCCCCGTCTCTGCTTTGAGAACGTGCACCGGCCTCTAGGGTCACAAGAGGCACTTAATAAAGAACACACTAGGTGCGCCATTCGTGCATCGCGTCGTCGCAACAGGATGCCGTCGAGGTCGCCCAAGGTAGAGGTTGCAAAGACCTAGAGACCCCACGGAGAGAGACCGAGCGCCCCCTCCCCGTACCCAGAGTTTCAGGGCGCGGTGCGCGTGGGAGGGAGCGCAGGTGCGGCTGTCTCAAGGCGCTGCCCTGGGCAGCCCCGCCCTCTGCCGGCAGCCTCGGACCGCGGGCGAAGCCCAGGTTGGGAGAAAGCGAACTGGAGACTTTCGGGCTTGCTCTGCAGGCTGCCACCTCGGCCACGGTCACAGTGACCATGGTCGCTTCCCTCTGCTAGGGGTGTTGACATGTACTGTGTACCAGGGGCCCCCTCCCCGAAGCACGGGTTATTTACACAATCCAGGGCCTGGGAAAGCCTGGGCCATGCTGATTGATTGGCGTGGTGCAAAAGGGAAAACTGAGGCCCGGAGAGGTCATCGCGGCCCAGTTCGTGTCGCAGGTACGCGTGGGCTGGCCGGGAGCGCGCTTCACGAGCGAGGCCGGCAGGCTCGCGTGGGTCTCTCTCCCACGGCCCGTCGGGGGCTCCCGGGTGACTCACATCTGCATCCCCTCCCCCGCCAGCCTCGGGCCCGGCCTCAGCCTGCAGCTCTGTCCCCCGGCTCCTGGACCGCCAGGCCGGCTGACGCATGGCGCCACCTCCGCGCCGCCCACCGCAGGGCGCCAAATGTCCCCGGGTGCGAGGTGCAGCGGCGCCACCTGCTGGCCGTTCGGGGGCACTGCGCCCGCAGCACCGGAAGGACGGGGCGGGGCGAGGGAAGAGAACCTTAGTATCACTTGGCCTAAAGCATGTTTTACAGACTTGGAACGTACATTTTCTAAATTCAGTATTTGGGGGTCCAACGGAGCGCCTCCATGCTGGGCAAGTGCACCAGACCTCTGTTTTTATCTTGAGATACTATCTTGCTAAATTGCCCAGGAGGGGATTGAATTTGAGATCCTCCCGCCTCATCCTCCTACATTTGGAATTAAAAGTGTTCCAGGCTAGGGCACCTTTCCTAGAGTAGTAATAGCAGCATTCATATGACCGTATACATAGGTGAGTATGTTTTACTTTTTTTTTTTTGTCTTTTTCCTTTTTATCGGTACCAGGGATCGAACTCACGACTGCCTGCTTCCAAGGCAGGCGCTTATGCCACTGAGCTAAATCCCCAGCCCCATAGGTGAGTATGAATTCACCGCTTCCAACAGAGCGTGCCTCAGAACTCCTCCCTCTTTGGTGCTGAGTAATATTCCACGGAATAGCCAGACGAGGCGTGCCGCTGGCCTGGCTCCTCAGTGGGTGCTGGGCTGTCTTTGGGCTATTGTGAGTGCCTGTTTTTTTCTGTTTCTGTTTTTGTTTTTCCTTCCAGTACTGGGAGTGGAATTCCAGGCCACTGAGTACATCCCCAGTCCTCTTTTATTTCTTTTTATTTTTTATTTCGAGACAGAATTTTACTAAGTGCTTCAGTTATCCAGGCTGAGCTCCAACTCACAATGCTCCTGCCTCAGCCTCTCGGCGTTGGGCTGACAGGCGTGTGCTATCCTGCAAGGCTCTCAACTTTTAACCTTCAAAACTATTGTATTGCAGGGGCTGGGGATTTAGCTCAGCGGCATAAGCACCTGCCTTGCAAGCAGGCGGTCATGAGTTCGATCCCCGGTACCGATAAAAACGAAAAAGACAAAAAAAAAAAAGAAGAAAAAAAAAACTATTGTATTGCAAGGCTTGAGGAGCCGTCCAAGGCACTGGGTTCCATTCCCAGCACCCCAAAAATGAACAAATAAGGGGCTTGAGCTCAGCGGCATAAGCTCCTGCCTTGCAAGCAGGCAGCTGTGAGTTCAATCCCCGGTACCGATAAAAAGGAAAAAGACAAAAAAAAAAAATGAACAAGTAAGTAATAGAATGGCATTATGGCTGGGTGTGATGCCGGGAGGCTGAGGCAGGAGGGTCACTGTGAGTTTGAGGCCAGCCTGGGTTGCATAGTGAGGCTCTGTCTCAAAACACCATAAAAGGCAGGGTTCGGCTCAGTGGTGAGACCTTTCCTGGCATGTTAAGGCCTCGAGTTCCAGCCCCGGGACCAAAAGAGGAGCAGGCCAGGGTTAAAAGAGAAAGTGAGGGCTCTGGGTGTGGCACCATCCTGCGGCTGGAAAGCCTGTCACACGGCTTTCCTGTACTGACTAAGGACTTGCTAGGGGTGACCTGGTGGATATAAGACTGCTTCCCATAGGCTGGTCAGTGTAGGCTTCTCTGAGGTGACATTTGAGCCAAGACCTGAGAGGCTTGGGGAAGGTGGTCCTTATGGAGGATATGGTGGTGCAAAGGCCCTGGGGCAGCACAGAGCCCGGCACAGTGCAAGAGTAGCAAGCAGGAGACTGCACGAGCAGGGCCAGGGATCTAGGGGCAGTGGGGTGGGGGAGGACTCTGGTGGTGGCCTGGGCGGATCCAGGAGAGCCAGGAAGCCCCTGAGGAGGCTGCAGCCAGGAAGGGCTGTGCTCTGACATCATGTCTTTGCACAGATGAACAAGAGACGATTCCTGTCCCCAAGGAGAGGTTTCCGGGTGGGAGTGACTCACCCTGAGAACTTCAGACGTCTGAGTGTGAGACAGGAGTGGCGACGGCGGGAGGATGTGGGAATGGCTGTCAGGTGGCTGGGGCGGCGGGAGCCAGAGCCAGGGCTCTGGGAGGGGAGGCTCTGGGGGGGTGGGGAGGACCCTGAGGGCTGAGTCTGCGGCAGCCTGGGCGGGGAGGGCAGGGCTGGCGTCTCACTGTGGCAGGAGCTGCCTGCCTGGACGCTCAAGACCTCCTGGGTCAGCAGGACGAGGTGGTGCATGCCTGTCCTCCCAGCACTCCAGGAGGCTGAGGCAGGACGATCTCAGTTAGAGCTCAGCCTGGGTGACGTAGAGACCTCGTGAGACCCCGCCTCAAAATAAAAAATGTAAGAGGGCTGGGGGTGGAGGTCAGTGCAAAGGTCCTGGGTTCACTGTGCGGATGGGGATGGGGTGGAGTTCTAGTTTGAACCCTCCATGCTTGGAGAGGCTCTTTCTCACAAAACCGAACAATGAATATAACAACACAAAACAGAACAATACCATGGACATGTTTCCAAGCTCAGATTTAACTCATTAACTGATGAGGAAATCTGTGAGGTTCCCCCCTGATTTAAAGAACCAAGATGTCCCAGTGAATTTGCCAAAGAATTAGGTTTTATTTTCCTGAGATAGGGTCTTGCTATGTAATTCAGACTGGATTTGAACTCACAGAGATCCCTCCTGCCTCAGCCTCCCGAGAGCCCAGAATTACAGAAGATTTCCCCATGTCTCTGTGTTGGAGGAATATGGTGACATATGCATGTAATCCAGCACACAGGAGGCTGAGGCAGAAGGGTCACTGGGAGTTTAAGGCCAGTCTGACTACATGCTGAGGCCTATCTGAACCTCCAGAGTCCACCCTTCATCTCCTGTGGACATCAGCCATCGGATTGGAGCACAGCGAAGTATTTGGCACTTTGCTCTCCCTGTGGGGGAGGCCACTTGTTCTGTGGGTGTTACCTGATGTGGTCATCTTTACCACTGTATAATATTCCACCAAGCAGATCTATATGGAGGTACTGGTTTGTTGTTATTAATGGGCGTTTGGATCGTTCTCAGTTCTTGTGTTCCCATTACTATCGTGAGGGGCTTTAAAACTCTAACGGAATCCTTTCTTTTTTAAAAATTTTTTTATACTTTTTTTTTCTTTTTATCAGTACCGGGGATTGACCGCCTGCTTGCAAGGTAGGTGCTTATGCCGCTGAGCTAAATCCCCAGCCCCAGAATCCTTTCTTTTACATGATGCAGAGAGAGCCCCTCAGTCCAGCATTCTGCCAGGAATTCAGCTGTCCTGGGACACCTGAGGACACCTGGGCGTGCCTGGTGTAGGCTCTACCTCTGCCAGCACCATGATCACGTCTCCAAGTTGCTGGGCCCCGCAGTGCTGCCTGCAGATTCCCGACCCAAGGAATCGGTGACCTAAGCAAAGTGAGTTTTAGCTGGGTATAGGGTGGCGGGCTTGTAAAACCAGCACCTGGGAGGCTGAAACAGGAGGGTCCCAAGCTCAAGGCCAGACTGGGCAATTTAGAAAGATCCTACCTCAAAATAAAAAATAAAAAATAAAAATAAAAAGGGCAAGAGTGTAGCTCAGGGGGCTGGGGATTGAGCTCAGCGGCATAAGCGCCTGCCTTGCAAGCAGGCAGTCGTGAGTTTGATCCCCGGTACCGATAAAAAGGAAAAAGACAAATAAAAAAAAAGAGTGTAGCTCAGTGTAAAGGCCCTGGGCTCAATCTCCATTATAGAAAGAAAAACAAAAAGAAGGGGTTGTTGACATCTATTTATTCCCCCCCCCCTTATTGAAGGGGGTACATTCCAAGGCTGTCAGCTGATGACTAAACCCTCATATAGTACAGAGCCTTGTAGACACTGTGGGTTTTTTCCTATACCTCATATCCATGTTAAAATTCGAATTATAAGTGAGACACAGTGAGACATTAGCAGTAGCGGATAATGAAACAGAACAATGCAATATCATACATTCACGTGAATGTGATGGCTCTCACAATGTCTCAGGTGTTGCATTGATCCTTGCTGTCTATATTGGGTGTGTTTGTTATGCAGCAATAGCTAACTAATACATGGGTCTTACTTTATTGTTGGCAGTGCCGGAGATGGAACACACCCACACCACCCTCACGTTCTGTTACTTGTCTGTGTCTTCTTTACTCTGGCCGCTTGGGGTCCTGCTGGCCACCATATTCACTGTGTCTAGGACCCATCGACTCTTCACCCCTCTGCACTACTTTCCCCCCTTTGGAAAGTGATGTGCTCCCTGCCTCTTACCCCACTACTAGACACTGAACCAGGACCTGCACTGAGGTACGTGCCCAGCCTGTTTTATTTTTTATTTTGAGACAGGGCCTCTCTAAATTGGTCAGGCTGGGCTCCAAATTGAGAGCCTCCTGCCTCAGCCTGCCAGAGTTCTGGAAGGAAAGGTTTGCGCCACCAAACCTGGTTATCAGCATGTTTTTTGTTTTTTTTCTTTTGAGGCTGACCTTGAACTCCCTTGTAACCGTCTTCCTGGGTGTGAGAGTCACAGGTCTGTGCTACCCAGCCTGGTTCATTAGCTTTCATTTGGACCAGAAGGTTCCTGAATTCTGATACTAGATTCTAGATTTCTCCGGGCTGTGGAATCCAGGATCCAGAAATCCACCCCAACCCCCAAGAGCCAGGTTTTGGAACCCAGCCGCCCCCAAGCACCTAGATCCAGAACTCAAGAGCCAGCTTCCACGATCCGGCCCCCCAATATCCAGAAGAGAGGGTGTAATCCTGGCACTTGGGAGGCTGAGTCAGGAGCATCCTGGTGAGTTAGAGGCCGGCCTGGACTGCACAGAGATCCTGCCTTAAAACAGAACCGAACTACTGCAGTCACTGGGGATCAAGGCCCAGCGAGCTCTGTCTCCTCCCTTTGGGGTCCAGAATTTGTCCCCACCCTCGAGGTTCTGGGGTCAGGCTCTGGAGTCCGGGTGCCAGGATCCCAGATCCCAGATCCGGACCGTGCATTTCGGGTTGCAGGCTCCGAACTCCCGTCTCCCCGGATCCAGGCTCCGGAATTCGGGGCTGGGGAGCCGGCCGGAGCCCGGGAGCCGTTGGGCCGGGATTTTTGAAAACCTGGCGCCAAATGCCCCCCCCCCCCCCGGCTGGGGCCTGAACCCCGAGAGCCTGCTGCACAGCCCCGGGGTCCGAGGGTTCCTGCCCACGGCCCTCCACCCCCAAACCGGGGAGTAGGGAGCCAGGAACCCCCGGAGATCAGGGTCAGTGTTGGGGTTCTCACCCCGCACCCGCCACGGCCCGCTGGGGGCGTCCCTAGCCGGGTCCCTGAGCGCACGTGCCTCAGTTTCTCCTCCTGCAAACGGGCCTATGCGCCCCCCACATGCTCAACGCGTGTGGAGCCCGGGGACCCCTCGGAGTGGACGGGCCAGCTGGGGGGGCTGCAGCTGTCACCGCCCCCCTCCTCGCTCAGCGCCAAAATTTAAAAATCGCCCCAGGAGCGTGGGGAAGTGCCGGCACCACCCCGGGCAGCGCGGGGCTCTCTGGGACTTGGAGTCCAAAGCTGGGGGTGCAGGGGGGAGGGGCGCGTGGGGAGGGCGGAGCCCGCACTCCGAGGTCCGCCCGAGAAGAGGGCGCCAGTCCTAGACTGCTGCTGGTTTGCTGCAATGGCTCTGAGGCTGGGCAGGGGGCGCGCGCCCGGATCCCAGCACCCGGGAGGCTGAGGCAGGAGGGTCGCTGCAAATTCCAGAACAGACTGACAGTCAGTCAAAGCTGCCTCCAAAGTGAAAAATAAAAATCTCAGCTGAGCACAGCCCAAAGCGAACAGACTGCCTAATGGGGGGGGGGGGGGCTGGCATCCCTTGGCCTAGAAGGGAAATGGGGGGCAGCGAGCAGGTAGGTGGTGATCGCTGCCAGCTTCAAGGGGGAGGGTCTGCAGGTAAATCTGGGAGTGGGGTATGGGAAAAGGGACCCCACGCCACCCCCAGACCTCCAGCAGCTGGACCCCCAGCCTCCCACTGTACTGGTTCATGCTTTACTTCGATCCCCTCATATTTTAGCGTCTTTTAAATTTTTTTGGTGTTTAGAAAATTTTTATTATGATTTTCTAATGCCCTCGGTGCTGAGGATGAACCCGGGGCCTCACACACCTTCCGGAAGTCCTCGCCCCTGACCCACACTCCAGCCCTGGCTTAAGGTTTTATTTATGTATTTGTAATTTTGAGACAGGGTCAAGCTGGGTAGCCCGGACTACCATCGGACTTGTGGCGATCCTCCTGCCTCAGCCTCCGGAGTGCTGGGGTGACAGGCATGCGCCGCTGCTCCTGGTTTAATATTTTCTGTTGTTGCTATTGTAGGGAAATGAAAACAGTATCAATCCTTTAAACACATGTCGCTTTTTCCTCCCCCTTTTGCAGTACTGAGGACTGAACCCAGGGGCACTCTACCACTGAGCTAAAAACTCCCAGCCCTTTTTAAAAATATTTTATTTTGGGTCAGGGTCTAGCTGCGTTGCCTACGGTGGTCTCAAACTTGGGATCCTCCTGCTTCAGCCTCCCCGCCTTCTTCTGTTTTTAAATTTTGAAACAGGGTCTCACTGAGTTGCTAACGCTAGGCATCAGTTTGTGCTCCTCCCGGCTCAGCCTTCCAGAATCTGAGGATGACAGGTTTGCAGCTCCGCCCGGCTTTCTCCTGAGTTTGAATCCTACAAGCAAAGTAACTCTGAAATGACCCGTCTGTTTTGTTCCTTGTTTGTGCTCCCGCGACTTTTCTGCCTTTAAAACCACTCCCTCTCCTGGGTGCAGGGGCCCCTTTCTACTCTCACAGACTGATGGGCTGCTGCCTGAGAAAAGCTGATGAGATCACTCATCCCAGCTGGCTGAACTTTTATTATTTGTCTTTTTTTTTTTTTTTTTTTTTTTTTGAGACAGGATCTCTATGCAGTCCGGGCTGGCCTTGAGCTCACTGTGCAGCCCAGGCTGGTCTTGAGCTTACCACGATCCTCCTGCCTCAGCCTCCCGAGTGCTGGGATGGCCGGCGTGAGCCACTACGCCCAGCTTTCACATGCTAAACAAGACGCTGAATCACACCCCCAGCCCGAAGAGGTTAACTTTTTTAGCTTCCATGCACGACCCAGAATACGCAGTATCTATTCTTCTATCTACTTTACTTGCCGGATGTCAACCCTCCATTGTCACCTACACAGCGGGTCAAGAGGAGCCCCAAGCTGGGAGACCACAACTCCCGGCGTGCCTCGCTCGTACTTAGTGCCCAGAGACTACAGCTTCCGGCGAGCCCTGCGCGGCGGCTGGCGGACCACAAGTCCCGGCGTGCCCCGCGCGGCAGTGGGTGGTGGTGGCGCCATCTTGCGCGGCGCGGATTGAATGAGCGCGCCGAGCCGGGGCCGCCGTCGCGATCAGAGCAGGCCGCGAGCAGCCGCCGCCATGGCCTCGCCGTTGCCCAGCCGTGCGGGTGGACCTGCCACCCCCCTGTCGCCTACGCGTCTGTCGCGGCTGCAAGAGAAAGAGGAGCTGCGGGAGCTCAACGACCGCTTGGCGCACTACATCGACCGCGTCCGCGCGCTCGAACTCGAAAACGACCGTCTGCTGCTCAAGATCTCCGAGCGCGAGGAGGTGACCACGCGCGAGGTGCGTGGGGTCCGCGGGATCGGGGGCCAAGCGGGGAGGCGACGCGCACCGGCAGGGCTGCGGGACCCCGAGCAAGGTGCACGGGCCGGGCGCTCCCTGGGGGGCCCCTAGGAATTTCGGGGGATCCCCGAAGGGCAGGGACAGGCCGGGCAAGCCCCGCCCACCGAGGGTTCTGGGGGATCCCGGGGCGCCCCGACCCGAGGCGTCCACGCTCGGCTAGCCCCGCCCCCTAGAGGTCCGAGGGGATTTCGGGGACCCGGAGGGAGGAATGCAAATCAGGCCGACGGCGTCCTCTGGGGTATCCCGGGGCCTCTTCAGCAAGGAGTGCAGATCAGGGGCTGTCCTGAGGCCCCCCGCCCCGAGGTCTCGGGGAGATGTGAACTGGCAGGCCCCGCCCACAGAGCTGTCCCATATCTGGGGTACCCCTGACACAGGGGGTCTGCGGAGTGGTTTGGTGGACCCCAAGTGAGAGGCGCAGGCTGTGGCTACCCTTTGGGGATTCTTGTAGGTTTGGGGGGGACCCCTGATTGAGGGGCAGTGCCTCCAGGCAGGCAGTGCCTTCCCCCGGGGTCTGGTGGTGGCCCGGCTGTCGGGATCTAGTGGTTTGGGGAACCCCCAAGGACAGCGGAGTCAGACTGGTTAAACCCTGCCTATTGAAGGATCATAGATTTTGGGGGATCTCTCAGCAAAAGGAATAGAAGAGTAGAGGCCTTCTTTGGGAGGCCCCCAGAAAATGTTTCAGGCACCCTCCAGGGAGGAGTGCAGACAGGACCATCCCACCCAGCAAGGGGTCCCCAGGATTTGGGGCACCCCTGAGGGTCAGGCTGCAGTCTTGAGGTCTCATGCTTTATGCCTAGTAGGATTTTGTGGAGATTTGGGGGGCCCCTGACTGAGGAGATCTAATCCAGCGTGGACCTAACCCCTAACTGAGCATAAGGGCGTCTTGGCCGGGTGGTGTGGGTGTTCCCATTCCAGGAGGGAATGGGGGAAGTGTCTGGTCTCTGAGGAGGGGGCGCTCAGGAGGGAGAATACTTGGTCCTGGCCGAGTCACTTGGTCTCCTTGTGGGATTTGGGGGAGAATCCAGGTGGGAATCCAGGCCTTGGTGTGAATGCAGGGGAGGTCCGTGAGTGGGGTATGCTTCCCCCACCGTGGGCCTGCAGTGGATGGGCCTCTGGGGAGGGGTTCAGTGGGAAATCTGGGTGGCCCTGAGTGAGCCCACTGGCCTGGAGCCCATTGCCACCTGCAAGGGAATCTGAGGGGACCAGCAGGCAGGCTTCAGGCAGTAGCTGCAGCAAGAGCCCTTGGGTTTGGGGTGGGCCCAGGGCTCCCCTGCAGCCGAGGGGAGGGAACAGCACTGAGCTGTGTCCTCTGTGGGCTTCCTCCTCTGGGACGGAGGGTCTCGACTGTGCCCTGACTCTGGAGGCCAGGTGAAGTAGGGGGTCTGACCATGGTCTTCTGGGAGTCTCTTAACCCTGCAAGGGCTCCTGGACAGGTTGCAGAAGCTGGCATCCTGATTCCTTGCTTCTGGTGCCCAGAGCAAGCACTTCTAGGAGTCCTTTGTCCCACCTGTAGGTGCGGGTGACTGGGGCCTGTGTGCACACGGCCCCAGACCTGCTGGAGCCTCCGTGTGGCCTCAGGGCGCATGCATGACAGCCTCCTGTGGAGGCCCCAGGTCCTGCCCTGCAGGTTGTGTCAGGCTCTGGAGTCCTGAGGTGCCTTGTCCTGCAGGCCCTCTGTGTCCTGTGGACCCTCAGGGTGCAGGGCCTGGAGGGCATGTGGGAGCTACCCACACAGGACCCCTGGATGGGTGGCTGCAGGTCCCCTGTGGGCCTTGGTGCCCCTGCATCTCAGCTCTGAAGCTGGTAGGGGGGCTGCAGGTCAGGCAGCCATTCCGGGAAGCTTGGGGAGCCCCGTAGTGGGTGACACCTGCCTGTCCCTGGTGCTCAGTGTCTGCAGGGGGCTCCTGGGACAGCTCTGTAGGCTGGCATTGTCTTTAGTGGGTGAGTGTGGGGACCCTGCTCTGTGCACAGGGCTGCCACAGAGTGGTCGCATGGCGGCCAGGGAGTGGCCTGCCTGGCCAGCAGGGCTACGGTTAGGGATCAGGCTGCAGGAGGTGGGGAGGTCACGGAGGTCCAGGGCCATTCGGTGCCATTCGGAGCACTGTGTCCCCTGGGCTGAAGGAGGTCTGGTGCTCCTGGCCCCTGCTCTCCTGTCCCCCGTCCTGCCTCCCACGGGACTCAGAGCCGGGACAAGTGTGGGCCCTGAACCTGCGCTGGGGATGCTCGTGGGGCTCTCGTGCTGGTGCAGGGGACGGAGGAGTGCAGGTCCTGGAGCGGGTTGTCGGAGAAATGGCACTGCAGGGGCACCTGCCATCCGGGAGGGCTGGCCGGAGCAGGGCTGCAGGTGGCCCGCCCGGGGGAATTAGTGCCCGGGAAACCTTGGCCAAGCTGTGCCATGCTGTGTGTCTGTGCCACCCAGGGAAAGGCCACCTCGGGTCATCTGCCACCCCCACCCTTGGGCCAGCGTGTGCTCCACATCTGTTGGGATTTCTTAGGCATGGTGCTCACAGGGACATCGCCAGACAGGAGGTCCTGTCAGCCCCGAGGCCGACAGGTCGCCTGTCCCTGCGGAGAGGGGCTGTGGGAGGTTCCCTGCCATGCCTCGCCGGTGTGTGTGTGTGTGTGTGTGTGTGTGTGTGTGTGTGGCCTCCTCTCTTCCGCCAGACGGCACAGAAATACTTGGAGCGGTCCGTGTTTGGGGAGAGTGCACCACAGGGGGGGAGCCCGCTGTGATTGCTGGCGTCAGGAATCCACACGCGCTCCCTGCCTGCCCTGTGCCCTCTGAGAAGCTTAGAGCCCCCCACCCCCCGCCCCCCGCCAGCTGCGGGCCAGAAGGGCATGGGGGGCGGGGCGTGCTGTGGGCAGGAGTGTGCAGTGCTGGCCGCAGTCGCTGTTCCTAAAGCGTCCTGGCGTGTGGCGCACGGCTGTCACCCCAGCACTCGGGAGGCTGGGGTGGGAGGTCCCCGAGTGCAGGGCCGCCGGGGCTGCACAGTGAGACAGCTGCCCCCCACCCCCAAAGCAACGGTGTGCAGGGTTGGCTGCCGTCTCCTCAGTGTGCCCTCATGCCCCGTGCCCTTTTCCGTCCCCAGATCCCATGTCACATCGGTCCTCGGGTCTCCCGGGGCTGCCTGGGGTGTGACTTTCTCAAACTTACTCCTGGGACCCTCATGCAGTCTTAAGGAGGACCAGTCAGAGCTCCTGGAGGGCGGCCCTCGGCCAGGGCGGTGTCGGAGTTTCCCCCGGAGCTGGATGACAGAAGAGGCGGGCAGTTTTGTCTTTCTGAGACAGGGTCTCGCTGTGCAGCTCCGCCTGCCCTGAGCTCACTGTGCAGCCCAGGCTGACCGTAAACACACAGCGACCCTCCTGCCTCAGCCTGCCGAGTGCTGGGGTGACAGGCTTGCCCTGCTGGCCCAGCGAGATGAGCTGTATCTTAATGGGAGCTCTTCCTTTACTTTCTGGAGGTTCTGAGGTGGAACCCAGGGTCCCGCTGTTTATAATTTTATTTTTATTTTGAGACAGGGTCTTGCTAAGTCACCTTGGCTGGCTTCAAAGTTGTGCGGCTCCTGCCTCGCCTTCCCGAGTGCCTGGGATCGCAGCTGCCAGCCTCCCCCAGCCAGCGGGGGTTTCTAAATTAGGGTTAAAAGTTCCATGATGCCCGGTCATCCCAGCACTGCCGGCTGAGGCTGGGGAGACAAGGGTTACCACCATCGCAGACCTGCGGGGCTCAGAGGCTGGGGAGGGAGCCTCGGTGCCCCGCAGGCTCCCTCGGCTTGGGGGATGGGCAAGGCTCTCGGTCCATGCTGCCAGTTCTAGATGTGATTCTGGGTCTCCTGGGTTCCCATTGAGGAGCGGGGGTGACCCCATTTACCCTGCAGCCGCACCGTCTCCTGTCCTGCCCCGACGCAGGGCCGGCTGTCTCTGGTTAGAGCCGCAGAGCCGCAGCGGCTGGGAGGTGGCAGGTCACCTGTGCTTTGCGTACGGCCGAGGATTAGGGGAGGGCAGCGGGCCACCAAGAAATCCGAGTTGTGCTCCCGGCTGGCGCGTGTGGCCGAGGCAAGGCGGGCGGGTGGCAGGCTGAGGGGGCCCCTCCCTGGGGACAAGTGCAGAGGTCTGGTGCCAGTTGTGCCCTGGGCTTCACCGGCAGCTGGTGACTTGGAGGGGGGCATGCGTGGCTCTGCGGGGGCAGCACGAACAGCTGGGGCCTGGGCTGCCCGTGAGGGACGGAACCCCAGTCACAGGCTGCCCCAAGACAGCTGGGGACTCGGGTGGTGACGTGTCTTTCTTCAGAAGTCCTGTTGTCAGCTGGAGAGAATAAAGCGTATTTATTATGTTAGGGGACCCTGAGCTGGGGCTGTGGGGGTCTGGGTCCTATCTAGAGACATTTGTGGAGTGGAGGGTGCACAGAGGCCAGGGGTCCCCCCGCAGAATGACCTGCACCCCTATGTTGACGGGGGGACTCATTAGACGTCCCACTGCGTTTCTGGTTTGGGGAGCTAGGGACGTGGGAAGTGAACCTCTTCTGGCCATGGCAGAAGCTGGGGGCCCTGCAAGCCGCCATGCAGGTGTGGGGTGAGGCCCCCTGTCTGGCAGGGACGCAAACCCATCGAAGGGCTGGCACCCCAGGTCACAGGCTGCGCAGCCTGGGTGCGCCCCCGTGCTGTGAGCTGGTACTTGGGAAAGGGACAGATTGTCCTGGAAAGGGTCACCAGGCTGTCTGCCTCCTGCTCAGGGTGCCCACTCCTGGCAGCTCCCTGCCTGGCTGAGCTGGGTGACCGGGGCCCCCTTTCTCTGGGTGCCGAAGCTTGGGGCACCTCCTTGATCGCTGCATCCCCCAGGTGAGCGGCATCAAGGCGCTGTACGAGTCCGAGCTGGCTGATGCCCGGAGGGTCCTGGATGAGACGGCCTGCGAGCGCGCCCGGCTGCAGATTGAGATGGGGAAGCTGAGGGCTGAGCTGGAGGAGGTCACCAAGAGGTAGGGGCCCTGCCAGATGCTCCCCACAGAGGTCCTGGGAGCCAGGGGAACTGAGGTCCTGGAAGTGGATGCTCAGGGCCCAGCCTTGAGACCCCACAGGTCGCTCGGCTCCCCCGGTGTGTCCGTCAGCAGGCGTCCTGTGTGACAGGATCTGGTCCCGTGTGTCCTGTGCATTCAGCCAACGGGGTCCCCATCACTTAGCTGCCCCTTGACTTTCTGCAATGTCTCCCAGGTGACAGATGTGCCCCTTGTCACAGACCATCCTCCACCGCAGCCTGCAGCCCTGGGCCCCTTCCTGCTGGGTCCCCTTCCTGCAGGCAGCCGGTGGCCTAAGGAAGCACTGCCCAGGTGACTCAGGGTCCATAGGGTCCCCAAGCCGGAATGTGGCGACGCAGTCACAGGGGCCACATGTCCAGGCCCCGGGAGCCAGCGCTCTGCCTGTGTGCCAGGAGCTGCCACCGTGGCCACCTGCTGGGGGACCCAGGGGTGAGGGAGGCCTGCCGGGCTCCGGCCTCAACTGAGGGGAATTCTCAGCCAGCCTGGCCCCTCGGAGAGACCCCATCTCGGGGTAAAACTAAAGAGGGCCGGGGTGTAGCAGGGCAAAGGCTCTGGGGTCCGTCCCCTGCCCTGAAGGGTGAATACCAATTTCCAAATCCAGGTGCTCGGGTCCCTGACCTCCTTGGTCCCAGGCCGGTGTCCCAGGGCCAGGCTGACTGTCCACCCCATCTGTCCAGTCTCAAGCAGTCACCCTCCCCCGACGACTCCAGGCGGCCTTTCCCTTGTTGTTGGTGGTTTTTGAGACAGGGCCTTGCTCTGTAGTCCAGGCTGGCCTGAATTCGTGGTGATCCTCCTGCCTCAGCCTCCCGAGTGCTAGGATTACAGGCATGAGCCACCACGCCCGGCTCGGCTGGCTTATTTTTGAGGCAGAGTCTTGGTGTGTAGCTCAGGCTGACCTTGGCCTCACTATTGTGGGTTTCAGAACATGTGTTGACCTTCCTGCCTCAGCCTCCCAAGTGCGGGGTGTGGCCTCAGCGCGCATTACCTTCTGTACTGCAAACGTGTCCTTTTTAAAAGAGGTGATTGTGTCTGAAGCGGGCAGGAGGGGATTTCTGACGAGGCTTATAGCAGTGTGTCTTCCTAGAATCAGGGTTAAAAGGCAGTGTATGTTTATCCCACCTGGCACACACCCAGGAAGGGGCCTGATCTGGCTTTGCACGCTCTCTGTGGGCGGCGGGTCCTGTGGGGGTGGCTCTGATGACCCTTGCGTCTTTGCCCGGCCAGCCGGGCGCCCTGTCCCACAGGACGGAAGGCCAGGCAGCTGCTCGGCCCTCTGGCTAAGGCCCCTTCTTGACTTTCAGCGCCAAGAAGCGGGAGGGCGAGCTCACAGTGGCCCAGGGCCGCGTGAAGGACCTGGAGTCCCTATTCCACCGCAGTGAGGGCGAGCTGGCCGCTGCTCTCAGTGACAAGCGCAGCCTGGAAGGCGAGGTGGCCGAGCTGCGGGCGCAGGTGGCCAAGGTAGGCGCGGGGGCCACCGGGGTCACTGTTGCTGCCGCCGCCGCCACGGCATGTGGGCAGATGCCATAGTCCCCCGTCCTGTGTCCCCAGGCAGAGGACGGCCACGCGGTGGCCAAACAGCAGCTGGAGAAGGAGACGCTGATGCGCGTGGACCTGGAAAACCGCTGCCAGAGCCTGCAGGAGGAGCTGGACTTCCAGAAGAGCGTGTGCGAGGAGGTGCGGGCTCCCTGGCTGCTCTGGGGCTGCACCAGCCTCTGGTGGACGCGGGTCTGTCCCCTCCCCAGCCCTGGGGACCACGGTTCCCGCAGGTCACAAGGACGGGGCTCCGGACTGTTTTTACTTACTCAGGACTGTGTCCCCCTTCTGCGAGTGTCTTTAAGGACATTTGTCCCTGGACTTGGGGCTCCCTGAGTAACCCAGAATCTTGTTTCGAAGCCCTCACCCCAGTAAGACCTGCAGAGTCTGTTTCCACAGGGGTCCCACTGATGGGTCAAGGGATCCAGACATCAGGGGCCGTCACCCTGATCTACACTCCGGGCCCCGCTCCCCCAGTCTGCAGCCTCCATGTCTCTGGGCCGCTGGCCCTGGGGAAACCTTGGGGCTGGCTTGGAGTGACCCAGTCCCGTGTTCTGGCCGTGGGTGGGGCCTGGGCCCATGGGCTCCTCTGGCTGGCCCCGCCCACCAGAGCCCACTGGTGAGGTCACAGTGCACCCCGGAATCCCTGGTGGGACTGCTGCAGCAGCCAGTGCTGGGGGGGGGGGAGAGACGACTCTGGGCCGGGAGGGAGGATGGGCGTGCAGGTTCAGGGCTGTGCCCGGCTCCCCAGGGGCTCAGAGAGAGGTCGAGGTGCCAGGGGACTCAGGAGGAGGCCAGGGAGGAGGCCTGCCAGGGCTGCCCGAGGCCTCGGGGATCCCAGGAACAGAGCCACCAGGGAACCTGAACCTGAGAAGGAACCCATGGAGGACCCCAGACCCCTGAGGGAGCCTGGGAACACTGTGCTGCGGGAGCCCAAAATGAAGACAGAACCCGCGGGGGTCACAGAGGAGGCTGCAGAGACCCCTGGGCGGGAATCGATCATCTGGGGACCTGGCCAGAGACCCAGGGTGGGGGAACCAGACCCGGGGAGAGAGCTCTCAAAGAGGCCAAGGAGGGACCCACAGCCCCGGAGGGGGTCTGCCCAGAGGTGCTCTCGGGAGCACGGAGCCACTGATACTCCTGGGAGGCAGCTCGGGAGGAGACGGCAGGAGCCCAGGGAGGAGGCTGCCCACAGAGCCGCAAGGGACACAGAGCCCCTGAAGGAAGCTGTAGGGAGCCCCGAGACTGCACCGAGAGCCACGGAGCCTGCAGAGAGATCTGTGATGGGACCTGACCCCATAGGGAGCCCTGGGAGGGGACACAGGAAGAGACCCACACAGGGAGCGGCGAAGGGAAGCGGGGAGACTGCCCCGAGGACAGCCAGGAGGGCGCCCCAGAAGGGCCCCTGGCTGAAGTCCCTGCAGGGCACCGTGCAGGTGGGTGTCCTTGGCGGCCAGGCACAGCTCCACTGGCTGCAAAAGAGGCCCACGTTCTTCAGAGATGGCCTTCCCTGCGCCCCCCAAACCCACAGTGTGGGGGACCCAACTCCTGTGCTAGAGCAACTTAAGCCTCGGAAGAGGCAGCTTCCTCTGGGCACCTGGGGAGCTCCCTGGCGGCACATGTGCCTGGGGGCCCGTCACTGCCCGGCCCTGTCTTCCCCACTGCTGCCCTGAGGACTTGGGGCTCCTGTTTGGGCCCAGCCTTGGGGACTGGGCTGTCAGTACTGCCTCCCCTTTGCCTCGGTGTGTGTGTGTTTGTTTTAGAGACGGGGTCTCACTGTGTAGCCTAGACCGGCCTCTTTTGCAGCCACCTTCCTGCCTCAGCCTCCCGAGAGCTGGGATGACAGGTGGCACACACACACACCCACCCGCTTCTCCTCTTAGCTAACAGCTGTGGGGGATGCGGTCCCCATGCCGTGAGCTCACACTAACCTAGCAGTCCAGTCATCCAGCACATTGAATAGGTCTTACAAGCTGGGCGTGGTGGTGCACACCTGTGACCCCGGCCCTCCGGACTCGGGGCAGGAGGATCTTAGAGAATTTGAGCAGCCTGGGCCACCCAGTGCGTTCGTGGTCAGCTCACACTGCCTAGGAGATCCGGTCTCCAGAATCACTGCAGGGCCGGGCCTGGGAGCCATCGGCTGCCTGCACCCCTGAGGCTGCTTTCTGTCTTGGATCACTATTATTATTATTATTATTTTGAGACAGGGTATTGCTGTGCAGTCCAGGCTGCCTGAGCTCATGGTAGCCCAGGCTGGTCCCGACTTCCCAGCGATCCTCCTGCCTCAGCCTCCCCAGTGCTGGGAGGACAGGAGGGCACTACCATGCCCGGCTTACTTCCTGTCTGTGCATTCACGGTCCTGCCCCTCCTGTCCGGAACCCCACGCTGTGTCCTGCCCGGCGTCTCTTGCTGGACACAGCGTCTCTAAGGTCCTCCATGCTGTGGCGAGTGTCACAGCCCAGGACATTCCCGCACGGGACGGACCTCGCCGTGTGCCCCTCCGTCCACCGAGGGACGCTGGGCTCCTGTGAATGTTGTGGGTCTTCTGGGGCCAGGTCTCCAGGGAGGTCCCGAGCTGCACTGCTGGGCCTGGGGACCCCGGTGGGTGGGGTCTGTGCCCAGGCTCACCTGGCCGATCCCCGCAGGAGGTGCGGGAGTCCCGCAGGCGGCACGAGCGGCGCCTGGTGGAGGTGGACAGCAGCCGGCAGCAGGAGTACGACTTCAAGATGGCCCAGGCGCTGGAGGAGCTGCGCAGCCAGCACGACCAGCAAGTGCAGCTCTACCGGCAGGAGCTGGAGCAGACCTACCAGGCCAAGGTGCCGGGGCGCTGCGGGGGTCGGGGCCGGCCGCCCCCGCCCGCGTCTCACCGCCCCCCTATGTCCCCCCAAGCTGGAGAACGCCAGGCTGAGCTCCGACCAGAACGACAAGGCGGCCAGCGCTGCACGCGAGGAGCTGCAGGAGGCGCGCGTGCGCATGGAGTCCCTCGGCTTCCAGCTCTCCAGCCTCCAGAGCAAGGTGGGCCCGGCCCCACGCGGCCCCGTGGCCAAGGCAGGAGCTGGCAGCCAGGCCGGACATGGGGCCGCAGCAGAGGCGCGGGTCGGGTGGGCACCGGGGACCCGGGAGGCCGTGCTGACCCAGCCACCACCCCGCCCTCCGCAGGCGAGCGCCGCCGAGGAGCGCACCCGGGAGTTGGAGGCGGCCCTGGCCGGGGAGCAGGACAAGTTCCGGGCTCTCCTGGCCACCAAGGAGCAGGAGATGACGCAGATGCGCGATGCCATGCAGCAGCAGCTGGCTGAGTACCAGGAGCTGCTGGACGTGAAGCTGGCCCTGGACGTGGAGATCAGCGCCTACCGGAAGCTGCTGGAGGGCGAGGAGGAGCGGTGGGTGGCGGGAGTCTTGGGGCAGCCGGGGCCCCAGCCCTGGGGCCGCCTGTGACGCCCTCCCCGTGCCACACCCAGGCTGAAGCTGACGCCCACCCCGTCCTCCCGGGTCACCATCTCGAGGGCCACCTCAAGCAGCAGCACCAGCAGTGTGTCCACGGCCGGGCGCCCAGGTCGAGGCAAGCGCCGGCGGGTGGAGGTGGAGGAGACGCCGGGCAGCGGCTCCAGCTCCAGTGGCATCGGCTTGGGCAGCAGCAGCAGCAGTGGCGGCAGCGGCAGCGGCAGCGGCAGCTTCCACCTGGCCCAGCAGGCCTCGGCCACGGGCGGCGTCAGCATCGAGGAGGTGGACCTGGAGGGCAGGTTCGTGCGGCTCAAGAACCACTCGGACAAGGTAAGCCGCCTCGCTGGGAGGCTAGGGCTGCTGGGCACAGGGGCGCCACGTGGCGGGCCGAGGGTCAGCCAGGTGTCCACCTCCAGGATCAGTCCCTGGGGAATTGGAAGATCAAGAGGCAGGTCTTCGAGGGCGATGAGATTGCCTACAAGTTCACACCCAAGTATGTCCTGCGGGCCAGCCAGACGGTCACGGTAGGTGGCAACAGGACAGGCCTGAAGGGTGGGATGGAGAGAGGCCAGCAGGTGCCGGCAGGGGGTGTCCAATGTGTGGGCAGGCGCGGAACTCCGAGGCAGGACGGGAGGGTCATCCCCGCCTAAGGACCCCTGGCACAGGCCCACAACTGACCTGTGGGCCTTGGGTCTGCAGGTGTGGGCGTCAGGTGCAGGGGTGGCCCACAGTCCCCCTTCAACACTCGTCTGGAAGACCCAGAGCAGCTGGGGCACCGGCAAGAGCTTCCGCACTGTCCTAGTCAACGCCGACGGGGAGGTGGGTGCCAGGGCTGGGGCCTCGGGTCCTGTGTGTCCAGCACCCCAGGTCCAAGTGCCAGAGTCCTCTGGCGGGGTGGAGGAGCTGCTGTGGGCAGCCCCAGGCCCGTGCCTGGGTGGCGTCTGCAGGGCAGGGGCCACAGCAAGCCTGAGCATGGTGGCCCTCGCCTGACACAGGAAGTGGCCGTGAGAGCTGTGAAGCAGACCTCAGCTGTGCAGAATGGGGAGGAGGACGAGGAGGAGGAGGACGCAGAATTCGGCGAGGAAGATCTCTTCCACCAGCAGGTAGCCCTGCACCAGGACAGGGGTGTGCAGAGCTGACCCTGGCCCCTGGTGTGCCCAGCACTGGCAGTGGGTTGCCTGCCAGGGAGGGGCTGAGCGAGCACACAGCGCTGTGTTGACTTCCAGACCGAAACCTAGGAAGTGCCTGTGGCTGAGGCCGGGGACCAGAGGGAGCCCGGGAGTCAGGACCGGGGACCCAGTGAGCCACTCTGTGTGGCCACTGAGCCTCCAGCCTGGCCTGACCCTGGTGCCCTGTCCTCCCGCCTTCCTACCAGGGTGACCCTCGGACCCCTGCCAGGGGCTGCCGCCTGATGTGACCCTGCTGCCCTGGCGCCCTCCCGCAGACCCGGGGGCTGCTTTGCTATCATGAATTTCATTAGTTCTGGACACATTTCAGCCGGATTTTAAGCAAACCACCAGCGCATAGAGGTGGGGTCTTGAGGGGCTTCCCCGTCAGTGGTGTCCCTGGACTGTCCCTTTGTCACCCCCGTGTGCTGCCCAGACTTTCTGTCCCCCACGCTGCCCCTCGGTGCCCATTAGGATGAATTCCAGGCCCAGGGCCAGGAACCTGGAGACCGAGAGGACAGGGCTGCCATCAGGGAGTGGGGTGTAAGCTGTGTGAAGCTTTTTCAGAACCAAAATCAGAATCCAGGTTCCGACCTGGTGCGGGGTGTCGGGGACACCACGTGTCGTCATTGGGTGGCACCCGGGGATCAGGATTGAAGGGAGCATCGGGGAGTGGCCTGAGCCCAGACATCCCTGGTGACTCGGGTCCTGCCGGGCAGGCGGCCCCCTTTCCTGGGCCTCGGTCCTGGAGCCATCTCCACGGATCTGGTCCTGGCCCTGCAAGACCCACAGCAGGAGAGGAGGCGGCCTGGGCGGGGCCCTGCCCTTCCAGGCTTTGTCACTGTGACATGGAGGGGACAAGGCGGCGGGAGGACGTGCAGCTGGTGTCTGGGCCCCCACCACACACCTGGTGGGGCAGCCCTGGGTCCACCTGTGGGAGCTCTGTGCTGCCTGTTGGGTTCCTGCACGTGTGTAGTGAGTGTCACTTCCTCCGTGACTTCCACTGAGGTTACGTCACCCAGCCAGACCCCTGGCCCAGGTGGCCCCACGTGGAGGGCTCCCCTCTGCAGCCCGGTGCTTGGCCCCCACCCCGGCCCTTCCCGCCATCACCACTGGCCCTGCCACGTAGATACACAGAAGTTATTTTTTTAATGGATATTTATTTTTTTACATACGTCAGTGTGCAGCTCACCTGGGTGCAGCTCCAGGGGCTCCTGTCATCCTCCCGGGGGTCACCTGTCCAGGCGCTCTGTAGTCCCTAGTGGCCAGCGTCCTTCAGAAAGTGCAGCTGAGTCTCAGACCGCCCGAGCCGCTGCTTGCTGGCTCCGGAAAGCGGGCTCTTGGGCTCACCCGGCCCGCATCTGCTCGGCTCTCCCCGGCTCCTGTCCCTGTCCGCTTGCTCTCCTTGGGAACCCTCCTGATCTCAGAGGTGGCTTCCTCCACCCTGCCCCGTCACCCCTTTGGGCTCCCCGAATGCCCTTGCTTGGGGGAAGGTGGGGACCGCGCGGGCAGCCAGCGCTGGAGGCCGATGGTCGGCAGCCCCGGCCATCGGGTGCTGTCCCGGTCCCGCAGTGGGTGGTGGCCGTGGGGCCGGGGCTCCCCCGGTGCGCACAGCTTGGCTCAGCTCAGCCCCCTGCAGCGCCGCCCGTTCTGGCCCCGCGCCCGCTCCCGCAGCCCGTTTTAACCCAGCACGGCCGGAGCTGCGTGGACACTGCCGACCTGCTCTGGGAACGTGTCTGCCTGGACACCGCCCGCCCGCCCGGCCTGCGAGGGACGCGGGGCTGGGGCTGCGCTCTGGGGGTTTTTAACATGCATGCCAAACGTGTGTTCTTTTTTCGCCCCTCGATTTGTAATATACATTTTAAGACTGGAAACTTTTGTACAACACTCCAATAAACACTCGGGTTTTAGTCGCTGCTTGTTTAGTGGCTCTGAAAACCGGGAGTATTTCTGGCGCCATCACCTTTCTGCACAACAGTTCGCGATGGTGCCGAAGCGTCGGATCCGTGTGCGCATGCGCGGGTTACGAGCTCCGGGGGCGGGGCCTAGGTACTGAAAGCCCTTTCCGGGTGTGCCGCTGGGATCTCTACTGCGCGTGCGCATAGAGCCTTGCAAGAGCTTCTGGGCGTTCTACTCGATTCTCCTATGGTACTTGGGATTTCCGGCGTCCAGCGGGTGACCAACAAGTGCTTCCGGAAGTGCACTAGGATGCTGGGAGTCTCCCGGGCCAATTTGAAACATTCGATCACTCAGGAGCCTGGGATTGAGAGCGTTTTGGCGGGTGCAGGCAGGCGCGCGGCGCCTGTGGCCTATTAGCCTGTCCTGTGCATGCGCAACAAGAACCCGCGCAGCGCCTTCGAGCTGGGCTCAGCAGGGTATCGCTCTGGTCCCTCCTCTGTCATCGTAATGGGTAAGCTGCTCAGGTTGAATGAATGTTTACGGCTGCGTGCCAAGCACTGGAATGGGGTGGGTGGCACGGCAGTCAATGCAGCCTGAGGCCTGAAGATGGTACCTTCACACCAGGCCTGGGTTAACTCAGCCACTTGGCAGAACTCAGAAGAAAGAAACAGAGCTGGAGAGGTAGATCCATGCCCCGGACTGGAAAAAACGTTTATTCATGCATTGCTAAGCTTTGCTCTCTGTCTCTTTCCTCTTTCTTGTGCTGCGCACGGAGCCCGGAGCTCTGCACCTGCTAGGCCAGCGCTCCCACTGAGCTGCACCCCCAGCCTCCGTGGATTGGGGTCTCATGGATAAGATACCTACCGGGCCCCCCCTCTGGGTTTCCCTGAGTGCTGGTGAAATCCAGGGTCCCATCCACACCCCCGGCCACCCCGGGGTCGCCCACCTGGCAGGAGTCCACCCTGCCCTCCAGGAAGCCGGCGCAGAGCATGCGGTCGGTGAGGGAGAAGTTGTACAGCGCGCTGCAGGTGTTCTGGTCCACGATGCCCACGGATGCCCTCTGCAGGACGTCAGGCTTGGTGGCTGCCAAGAAAGGAGCGCAGGGGGGCGCAGATCGCCCCAAGAGAAGGCGCCTTCCCTCCCCGTGGATGCACACACAGGCCCACGGACTCTATGGGGAGGAGGCAGTGGGTCCCAAAGCCCCAGCATGGAGTCTTGGGCTGTCTTCTGTCCCCAAAACCTGTACAAAGCCATCCCGGGGTCTCCATGGGAACCTGACCTCCTGCCTTGGCTGGGGTCTCTGAATTGTGTAGGGCAAGGTCAGCCGGCACTTTTTAAAAAATATTTTCAGTTTTATGAGCCACTCAGTCACCTTCCCCACTACACAGCCCAACCCAGAAAGGGGCTGTCACTGAACGTGCACAGGCTGTGCCAATAAAACTTTATTTAAACAAGAGTGGGCCCACCTATGGCTCCTTGGCATCATGGGAGGCAAACAGTTCACAGACCTTGGGGGGGTGGCAGGCTGGTCTGGGGCTGAGGGAAGGTGGCCCGTCCCCTCCCCCAGGGGCTGGCCCTGCATAGTAAAGCCCCACCTTGCCAGTTGTGGTGCCCACTTACTGTTCCCTTCCCAAGTGTTTCCCCAGCCTGAGATCATGCATTTGAGGCCCACCAGGAATGTTTAGGTGGCCAGGGGGAGGCAGATGGGCTGGATGTATCTGATAAAGACCAGGGGCCTGGCCAGTTCCACCATGGCACCATGGCCACATTGAAGTCCAGGGTGCCTGGGTTGTAGCATGGGTGCAGTGTCACCAGCTGAAGCCACAACTTCACAGGGCTCCTGCTGACACCCAGGAGGGATGCAGTGCCCAGGTGGGCTTGCACCTGCTCCAGGAAGCCAGGGGCCCTGGGCCAGGGCTGGACACCTGGGGGCTTGGGTTCCTACTTGAGACACTGCGCTTTCCTTTCTTATTCATGTACTGGGGACTGAACCCAGTGCCTTCCTGTCGCAGAGCAGTGATGGTAAGCACCTCGTGGGAGTGGGGCCCTGCAGTGCGTGACCTCAGGGCCCAGCCAGGCTGTCACAGTGTCAGGACTTCCTTTTCCTGGCTGCATTGTATTCCAGTGTGGACAGACCCCTCTCATGGCCATGTGTGTGGACACTGGGCTGTTTCCGCCTTCAGCCTGCTGGGAGCACCGGTGTACAAGTCTGAGCCACTTGTCCTGGTGGGTGACTCCTTGGGCTGCCACAGCTGTGGCACTGGGGACTTGGAGCCAGCTGCCTGCTGCCACCTAGACTTGCTGCTTGACTGGCTCCTGGAGTGGCGCTGGCAGGTTGGTGGTAGTTTTGTTGGTACTGGGCCTTCAAACCCAGCCCCAGCCCCAGCCCTCTGCACAGTTTGGAGGCAGGGCCTCGCTAAGCTGCCCACACTGGGCTTGACCTCGAGTTCCTCTTGTCTCACCTTCCCAAAGTGCTGGGAGGACACACGTGTGCCCGGGCTACCCTTCTGACTGCTGAAACATAAGCTCTCGCATGCCCACCCTCTGTGTGTGACTGTCAGCGCTGTTCCACATCCTCCGTCACCTGCCCATAACCAGGTCCCTTGCCCGTGAGTCTCCTGTCCCCTTTCAGTCCTTGGCACCCACGAGGCCACCTCCCGTCTCTGGAGTCGCCTGTCAGTGGAGCCCGCCCTGCGTGCCGTGTCTGGCTTCTCTTAGAGGGCAGCATCCTAGAGGTCCCTCCACACTGATGTCACCGCTGCAGTCCTGTCCTGGCCGAGGGGTGTCCTGCATCAGTACGGACCTCCTGCCACTCAACACGGTCAGGCAGGCGAATCCGCCGCAGACAGGCGGGACGCCCAGGGCAGGGCGAGGTTGTTCCATGCATGCGCACCATCATTTTAACACTAAACGGCCACAGCCGTGCCCAGGACCAGGGAGGGCTCAGAACCTGGGCTCAGAGCCAGGTGAGGGCCAGAGGGGGCGCCCCGGGGGTGCAGAGCACAGCTGTGGGGCCCAGGCCTCCCCCCCTCCCTTCAAGGTTACACGTGGGGACAGAGGTGGAGCGAGGGACCCTCACAGGCCATCAGGGAAGGCGACTTTATTCCACTTGGCTTCCAGCAGGCACATCGGCACGCGGGAGTGCGGAGTCCGCGGAGTCCACAGGGACCCCTCGACTACAGGGGCCGGGCTTGGCCACCCGTGAAGGCCCCACCCGGGCTGGGGACGTCCCCGCCTGCCGCGGAGGGCCTTGGGGTCCGCAGGCAGGGCCGGGTGGCTGCCTTCGGGGTCCCCTGGAGCAGGGTGTGAAGCAGCCCGCCTGGCGGCTGGGCACCAGGAGATGACGGTGGCAGGGTGGGGCAAGGTGACCCCATGAGGGTGGGCCTCACCGGGGCTGGGGGACAGGCCAGGGCCCCGGCGTGCCGAGATGGAGACGACAGTGGCGCGGGGAAGGGGCCGGGGCCGGGGCAGGGCCGCCGGCCGCCCAGCTAGCGCAGGCCGCACTCCCCGCCCTGCAGCCGCTCCTGCTCCAGCGCGCGCACCAGCTCCTGCACGAAGCGCATCTCGGACGCCACCTGCTTGGCCAGCGCCTCGTAGCGGTTCTCCAGGCGGCTGAAGCGGCGCTTGAGCCCGCTGGCGCCCAGCAGCGCGCCCTTGGCCTCCTCCTGCGCCTGCCGCTGCAGCGCCTCCGTCTTGTGCAGCTCCTGCCGCAGGCGCCGCAGGTCGCGGCCGATGCTGTCGCGCTCCTCCGTGTACCAGGCCTCCTTCTCCTCGTAGATGGCGGCCAGCGCCTCCACGTCCTCGCGGCACAGCCGCCGGCCGCGCTGCAGCTCGCGCAGCCCCTCCTCGGCCGCCGCCACCTCCTCCAGCACGCGCGAGAAGCGCTCGAAGCTGGCGTAGCTGTTGTTGGGCGGCATGCTGGAGTGCGACTTGATGGTGTACTCCTTCAGGCGCGCCGCGCGCAGCCGCCGCCGCTCCGGCCTGCGCCCGCCGTCCTCGCCGCGCACGTTGCGCCTCCGGATGGCCTGGGGCGGGCGGACAGTGACTGGGGGCGCCGGGCGGGAGGGCGCCCCGCCCCCTCCACGCCGGCACCGCCTACCTTGATCCAGGAGTGCTCCAGGCTCTGCGCGATGGTCATCCTCCTCCTGCAAGAGCCCCGGGAGTCACCGGGAGTCACCATGACCACGCCGGCAAGGCGGGGCCACCTGGGCCGTCCTCCCCCCCCCCCCCGTCCCCGTCCCCGCCCCACCCCCCCACCCCCCCCCACCCCCCCGCTAGTGGACCCCTGGGCGTCGGACCGGGACCCCAAGCCCCAGGGTGCGGCCGGTTCCCTCCGGGGCCGGGTCGGGCCTCGAGTAGGTTGGACACGTGCGGGCCCAGGAGGGCAGCGGCACCTGAGGGCATCGGAGCTCCCGGCAGCCCAGTCCCAGACTTGGGCAAAGCAGTCGCTGGAATGCTATACGAAATACATGGCGGGGCATGGAAATGCTGGCAGTGAATGCAAACTTCTGTCTTTCTTGGTACTAGGCATCGAACTCGGGACCTTGTTATTGCCAGGCAGGGCCGTGCCACTGAGCTGCGTCCCCACCCCGAGGACATAGTGGGGTGGATGTGGTGGCCCAAGCCTGTCACCCCAGCACCCTGGAGGATTAGGCAGGACTGCTAAAATTCAAGTGTTTTGAAAAGGGTTGGGGACAGAGCTCGGCAGAGCCCTGGGGCCAGGTGCGGTGCCCAGCTCGGTGCCCCGCCCGCCCGTACTTGGGGTCCTTGACCAGCAGGCGGCGGATGAAGTCCTTGGCCAGCTCACTCGTGTTGCTGAAATATTCCTCGTCAAAGTCGTAATTCACTGCAGAGATGTTGGTCAGCGTCTCCTGCTTGGTCTCCCCCAGGAAGGGGGATGCTCCGCTGAGCCTGCGGGAGGCACAGGAGCAGTGCTCAGGGCCCTGCTGCCCGATCACCAGCGACTCCCTGGCCACTGGACGCTGGCGCTGGCTATGGGCCACTCAGAGGAGGGGGGACCAGGGCATCAGAGCCCTGCACCGTCCCCAGGGGTCCCCGCAGAGTCCAGCCCCCAGGAGAGCCTGCTGACCCGCTCTGCCGGGGTGCAGTGCCATGGGACTCCAGGGAGCCTGGGGGACATCAAGGGAGCCCCTGTGGGGCACATGCTAAAAAGAGCTCGAGCTGAGGTCATAAAGATGGAGGGACGGTCCCCAGGTGCCCAGACGTCAGGGCGAGAGGCAGGGGCAGGCGGGGAGGTGACGGCCTGGACCCCTCCAGCCTTCCTGGAACCCCTCCCAGGCCCAGAGGCCTGGGCACTGTGCCCGCCACCCCAGGAGGAGAGGACAGGCCACAGGGGCAGGCCCTGGGAGACGAGTTCTGCCCCTCTGTGCCCCGTGGCCACACCACACAGTGGGGTCACCTTCCCGAGCCCCCATGGCGACAGCAAGTGACCCGCTCGCCCACTCACGCCTCCCTTCAGCATCCACCATGTCGGGCCGTCCAGGTACTCACAGGATATAGGTGATGACACCAATGCTCCTGGGGGACACGGGGCAGGGTCAGCACCCGGGCCACAGCAGGAGGCCCCGCGGGGACTGGGCATCGCACTCACCACATGTCAGCCTCCAGGCCCAGCGGCTCGTAGTTGACGATCTCGGGGGCTGGGGGGACGGGAGAGGGAGGGGGCTGTGAGGCCGGCTACGCACAGCCCCCCACGCCGGGCCCGAGCCCCCAGGAGCCCCAGCCTCACCCACGAACTCGGGGGTGCCGAAGATGTTCTTGAACTCATTCCCGGCCTCAATCTTGTGGGCGATGCCGAAGTCGATGAGCTTGATGTGCGGGCTGGGCACGCTCTTGTCCAGCAGCATGATGTTCTCGGGCTGGGGACAGCGGGGACCGCTGCGGCTCAGACTCGGGGCCAGGGCCCGCGGTGGCGGTGGCTGGGGGGCGGGCCGGCGCCCCGGGGCTCACCTTGAGGTCGAAGTGGGCAATGCGCTTGGAGTGCAGGTAGTGGACGCCGTCCAGGATCTGCTTGAGGAACTGCGTGGCCTCGTCCTCGGTCAGCGACTCCTTCTCGGCCAGGAAGTCAAAGAGCTCGCCGCCGGACACCAGCTCCAGGATGAGGACCACGTCCGTCTTGTTCTCGAAGACATCGTGCAGTGTGATGATGTTGGGGTGCCGGATCTCCCGCAGGATGCTCACCTCGCGCTCGATCTCCTCGCGGCTCACCCCGCGCCGGCTGGACGACAGGCGCCGCTTCTTGATGAACTTGGCCGCGTACTCCCTGCCCGTGCCCTTCTGACGGCACTTGCGCACGATGGCAAACTGGCCGCTGCGGGCGGAAGGGAGGGCAGGGCAGGGCGGGTGAGCGGGCCACGGGGCTCGGTGGGCGTCCAGGCTCCCCACCCACCCAGACGCGCCACCCCAGTGGGCCCCCGGGAACTGTTCAGGCACCGGACAGCACTGGCGCTCAGGAGGAGGCTGAGGCAGGAGGATCGCTGTGTGTTCCAGACCTGCCTGGGCTGCACAGTGAATTTAAGGACAGCCTGAACAACAGAGCAAGACCCTGCGTCCAAAAACCAAAAACCAAAGCAAAAAAAAAAAAGGCTCGGTTTTAAAAGCTCATTCAACGGCACAGCAGACGGGGCACACACACTGTCAAACAGGTGAGGACTGCAGGGGAGCCTGCCACCCCCACCATGTCCTGCCACAGCCTCCACGCGATGGTCTGGGCACTGCTCAGAAGGTTACGCCGGGGATGCACATCTGTCACCCCAGCACTCTGGGAGGCAGAGGCAGGAGGATCAAAAGTCCAAGCCACCCCTGGCCCATTTAGTGGCTGCGAGACCCTTCCTCAAAACCCAAACAGAGAAGTCAAACAGCGGCTGAGGAGGAGGCTCAGCGCACATCCCGGGCTCAGCCCCAGCCTTGGGAGGGGACAAACGGACGCACATGCCGGCGGAGCTGCAGCTGGGCGCAGGCCATAAAGCCAGCACTCGGGAGGCTGAGGCAGGAGGGTTACCTTGGATCTGAGGCCAGCCTGGGCAACAGAACGAAATCTTGTCTCAAAAAACAAAAACTAAATCAATGAAAGTGGCTGGTATGAGCTGAGCTGTGTCATGGCCGAGTCCCCACCCTGTACACCATGGCTGCTTCTGGACACGGGGTCCTTAACAAGCAGACATGAGGCTCTCTGGACGGCCTGTCACCTCCCTTTCCTGTAAGAAGGGTGGCCTGGTGAGGGTGTCCAGCCGCCCAGCAGGGGAGGCCTTGCCCCACCCCGACCCTGGGCTTCTGTGCCCAGGACTGAGAGCCCTCCCGGATCCCTGACGGGGCCTTGGCACATGGGACTGGACAGCGCGGGTAGGAGCCTGGGTGTCGCTGACGGCCTCCCCAAGGCCTGGTGCCAAGTCCAGCTGGGGAGGCCGAGGCCCCCGTGCCTGGGCTCCCTGTGAGGTCAGGGCCAGCGGGAACGACACAGTGAGATCTTGTCCCAATGAAGGGGGACTGAGGACTGGGGACAGAGCTCAGGGCCAAGGCCCTGGGTTCATCCCCTGAACCAGGGAAAACTCTCACAGCGCCCCGCACCGTGGGCTCCCCGCCCATGCTCAGCCAGGCCCCGGGAAGGTACGGAAGGGACATGACCAGGCCGGAGAATCCCTGTGGCTCCGCACTCCAGCATGTCTGTCTGTCTGTCCTGGGCTCCAGGACAGTGGCTGGGGCCACCACATACAAGGACGGCAAACATATGAGTCCCTGCATCCAGCCACAGACACTCGCCCCATGAACTGATCCCACTCCCGGCTCCGCTCACCGCCACTTGTCACTAAGGGACCCCTAACGCTGACCGTGACATCAAACCCCAGGGCAAGCAGCCTCCACCCTGAGGCCCAGCCCTGAGCCCGGCCGGCTGGGTGCACACAACCCTGTCCTGCAGAGGGCGCTGCTGGGCCCTGGGGTTCACCTCGGCCCTCTGCCCTGCTTGTGGCTGAAAAGACAGCTGAGCCCCCAGCTTCCCGTGATCCCCACAGTCACAGCCTCAGATCTGGGTCCAAACACCACACACTGACTGGGACGCCACAGAGCGGGCAGACACAAATGACGTGGGTGACAGTCACAGTGACAGGAAGCCAGCGGGGACAGTGGGGGGCACCGATGGGAAACATCACCCTAAAACACTGGGTACAGTTCGAACCTGTGCCTGCAGGATGCCTGCATTAGAACGTGGGTCACAGATACCTCAGATACTCTGGAGCTGAGGCAGGAGGGTCACGTGCTTCACCACCCTGCACACTTAGCCAGGCACTGTGTACGATGGAAAGGGTGCGGATGGCGCCCGTGTGAAGCCCTGGGTTCAAGCCGCCGCACTGGGAAAACCAAACAACTCCCCAGCCAGCAGCAATTCCGCCCACTGCCAACACTAGACCTCCTCTGGGGACAGACCTGAGGCTGGGCTGTCACCCTGGGGACGCACCTGGTATAGGGTGGGTGGAGGCCAGGGCCCCTGCTCAGCACCCACAGCGCTCAGGACAGCCTCAGCAGCCCCAGCGCCACATCCAGCTTTGAGCAGTAACATTATGTTTAAAACCACACAAACCACTAGCCGGGCCTGGTGGCGCACACCTGTCATCCCAGCACTCGGGAGGCTGAGGCAGGAGGGTTGTTGCGAGTCTGAGCCCAGCCTGGGCTGCAAAGTGAGCTCAGGGCCAGCCCGGACTGCACAGCAAGACGCTGCCTCAAAAAGAAAACAACAAAAACCCCAGCTCAGGCGGAGCGGTGTCTGTCATGTGCAAGGCCCTGGGTTCCAGCCCTGTTATCCACAAAAATCAAAAAACTAAGGAAAAAATCGACACAAACCATTCTGAGCTTGCGGAGTACAGGAGTGATTATCAGGGGACGGAAAGCATGGGGACCTGGCTTGGCCCTGGCCGGGGTGTGCGCACCTGAGATGGATCCACACAGCTCGAGCGGAGGCCACGAGGGTGGCAGCGACGAGCAAACCAAACGTCATCAGAAACATCCCGGCAGGAGCCCGCCTCGGTGGCAGAGCCAGCGCCAGGCACGGAGGAGGCCTCTGGGCCATGCCCGGCGCCCCCGCCCCACACTAACTGCTACCCGAGTGAAACCCATCTGGGTGCAGTGACGCCTGCCCAGTTATCTGGGAGGCTGAGACACGACAATCCCAAGTTTGGGGCCAGTCTGGAAAACTTAGTGAGATTCTACCTTAAAACTACAACAAGCTTCCCTAGGGTAAAGGACAGACAGTGACATCCAGGAGGTACCAAAGATGTAAAGTAAGCAGGGGGAGACTGCTTGGTAGGGGGGGGAGCTGGGTGGGGGAAAGGAGAAGGGAGAGCAGGAAGCATTGCACACGCAGGACTCGGGACTGCACTAACCCCCGACCGCGCACCACGAGCACCACGAGCACCGGCCCAAAACAGAAGCTTCCACTGTTGGCTCATCTTTCACACCTCTGTCTCACAATCTGAGCGACCACTGAGAAGGTAACAATATGCAATATATTAACCATTGCTAACCTCCACAGAAAGAAACAAAAAATAACAGGCCTCGGCCCAGGGTGGCCTGTCATCCCCGCACTCGGGAGGCTGAGGCAGGACGATCGCTGCAGGTACGAGGCCAGCCTGAACTGTCTCAAAAAGACAACAAAAACCCTAGTAGGTTAGGGCTGCGGCTCAGGCCAGGACCCCGGGTTCCCTGCCCAAACCACCAAAATAACAATGATAGTAACAATAACAACAGTGAACAGGACTCTGTGCCGGAAGAGGACACACGGTGGACACATCATTGGATACAGAGAATCAGAGCGTTCACAGGGGCCCCAGAACCCCAGGAACACTGAAGGGCGACTCATTCGGGGTTACATTTCTCGGATCTCTGCCAAGTCAGTTCCAGACCCAGACGGGAGGCCCTGACACGTTCTCAGCCACACAGCGCTGTTCCCAGAACCCAAAGGAAGGAAATTCCTGCAGGACCTCAGGATCCCAAAGGAGAACTGAGCCACACTCCCGCGGCAGCGGTCGGCAGTGGTGGTGGCTGCGACCCAGGGTTCAGCTATTTACATTCCCTTCGGGTGACATCATGGGCGGCGGGCGGCTCCCAGCAGCGGCTCACCAAATAAGGTTTGAAGCTCCACAAAAAAGGGGGGGATGGGAGGGACGGGGCCTGGCCAGTCTGGGGGCCAGGGTGGGGGTGGGGCGCCGCCCAGCCCGGCAGGAAGTGATTAAAAACTGGCCCAGGCAGAAAGCAAGAGCTGCGGAATCTCCAGTGGCCCCAACAGGGACTTGAAGGACAAGGCCAGCGCTCGGCCAGCACCGGCTGCTCCCGCTTGAGGCCAGGCTCCATTGTTAGGCGTCACACCTACGGGAACAATGCAGTTCTACATCTCGAACACACGTTGGGGAGAAAATGCAGGCTGGGTCGGCCTGGCTCCAAAGTCCAAATCCGTTTTTCCAGCACACAGCGACACCCTGACTCATTCAGTCCGGCAAGGTGACAGACGGGGACGGCGGCTACTCACAACCGCCGGCTCACCTGCCCAGCTCCTCCCCCATCTCATAGTGGTCCTCCACGTCCTCCTGCCGGAAAGTGGACATGGTGGCCACCCGCCGCCGGGCAGCAGCGTCTGCTCCGGCCAAAGTTACGCGCAGTCACTGGAGAGAAAGAAAGCAAGCAGCGGGTGAGGGCTCAGCAGCTCCCCCTGCTAAACAGACAGCTGCTGCCCACAGTGCTCTCCCAGAGGCCAGGACTAGCAACTAGCGGGCCCACCTGTGAGCCAGGACTAGCAACTAGCGGGCCCACCTGTGAGCCAGGACTAGCAACTAGCGGGCCCACCTGTGAGCCAGGACTAGCAACTAGCGGGCCCACCTGTGAGCCAGGACCTGGAAGGCTGAAGCAGGCAGACTGCAAGCCAGCCTGACCTACAAAGTGAGCCCCTGACTCAAACTCCCTCCTCTGGGAGGCCCTCCATTCAGTGGGTCACTAACTAGCCTAGGCTGGGCGCGGCCTGCAAGACAAGACGCCTGCCTCAGCCTCCTAAAGTGCTGGGAGGACATGCATGAGCCGACATGACAAGTATTTCCCAGCCCCCCGCCAGCCGAAAGCTCGCTGTTTTCCTTATCATTTAAGGCAGGATCTCGATATGTAGCCCAGGCTGGCCTCCGACTCAGAGACCCTCCTGATTCAGCCTCCCCGGCGCTAGGACAAGGCCTGAGCCTCGACGCCCAGCTCTGCAAGCCCACTTTGGGCACCGCTGACCTTGGCAAGATTAAGTAACTCTGCCCTCACTTAGCAAAGGCCCCCACCCGAGAACGGATCGTCTCCCCAAGGTGTGCCCACCCCTAACGTCCCCGCTCCAGCATCCCTGAGGCCGCCACGCCCCTCGCTGGCCCGGTCAGCAATGCGGTTCTCCAAAAGTTCTCATCTTCAGAGTCTCTCGCCCTCCCTGTACTCCAAGGACCCCTGAAGGGCCGCCCCGGCCTCACCCAGCCCGTCGGCCTAGGCCCAAGCCCGTCCGCACCTCCGCGGCCCAGAGTCCCGGGAAGGTCCAGACACCTAGAGGGCCGAAGCCTCCACCTCCTGCCTCGGACACCTCCTTGCGCTTGCGCGGACGAAACTGCACCGCCAGTTCCCGCCCCCAGAAGGCGGACCCCATCGCCCATTGGCTGATCCACACGCCACTCATGCCCCATCTAAAAGCCCCACCCACTTCCTTCTTTCCGGGCACCGCACCCGGATACGGCCTCGCCATTGGCTGACTGACTAATCTCCCCTAACCTGATTGGCTGACACGGACACTGGTCAAACACATGAAGGCTGACCTTGCAGTCTCTGGAGCGCCTGGCTCCCCTCTAAATAAGAGACTTGCAGGCCCGGATCCCACCCAGTTCGGATGCACTGGGCGGGAGTGACCGGCAGGTCCTGGGACGTACCTGGGACTGCTTAAGCCTGTCTGGAAGTTTCACCACGAGAGGCCCGGGGGTTCGCTACTCAAGGGTGACAGCGCTCCCGGAGACTGTCTTAGGAGCTGTCCCCAGCGTACAGATGAGCAGCAGACACCAGGAAGGCCGAACGCCAAGGAACTGACACCTCCAGGTCTGCACCCAGGACACACCCCCCCACCCCCGCTGCCGAGGCTCCGCAGAGCTCACCCCAGCGGGCTTCGCCCTTACCCTCTCCTCTGCAAAGCTCAAGCCTGCTTTCACGGCCCCTAGTGACTGCCTGAGGCTCTGCACGCCTGGGCACCAGGGCACCATCACCGCAGGAGGATGGGCTCAGCCACAGGTCTCATGTGGGGACAGGGGGTTCTGCTTCCAAAGCGGGTCCCCCAATTCTTGGTACATTTACCCAACAGGAGTTCCAAAAAATCAAGAGAAATGGGCCCTCTAAAAGGCACGCTCAGGCAGGGTGTGGTGGCACACACCTGTCCTCCCAGCACTCAGGAGGCTGAGACAGGAGGGTGGCCGTGAGTTCCAGCACAGGGAGCCCAGGGCCAGCCTGAGCTGCACAGCGAGACCATCTCAGAGGGACGAAGCCCAAATAGGAAGCTGAACGTGAACCGCAAGCTGGTTACTTTCCTCCTTTTCCTGACCACTTAGGTCTCCTGATAAAGGAAAGCGCTCAGGGCCTGCTCACCCCAATCACCTGGAACTGAAGCACCCCTGGCCACATCTGCAGGGAGGCAGGGCTGGGGCGTAGCCCCGAGGTTCAGCACCTGCCCTCTGGGCCAGGCCATGTCTCAGGCCCAGCACTGGGGCCTCTGCCTGAGCCCAGGCGCGCTGATCCCCAGGACCTGGGACCAGACCATGGTCACTGCCCATCAGCCTGGCCCTCGCTTTCCTCCAGAGCTCCCTGCCACCCTGTCCACGTGCGGCTGCGTGGACACCCCCGTCAATGACACACTGCCAGGCCCAGGGTCACCACCATGAGTTTATTATTTCAATGGCACAACGCAGCTGGTGGTGCTCATGGTGACACGCACAGGACCCTGCTGTCCAGGACCGTCGTTACCCACCTGTCCCGCCTGTCCGTCCCCTCTGCAGCAAGGGCGGCTTCAGGCTTTTACCCAAGTAAACCTCTGTGTTTATTTTAAATTTTTGGACATCTGGGTTGTGGTTCCCTCTGAACAAATGGAAAACAAAAGACTGGGTGTCCCGCCCCACCCCGGCCCGGCCCCCAGGTCCCCGGAGTGGGCGCTGCGCTGCTCTGGAGCCCAAAATAAATAGACACAGCGTCGGGTGTGAGGGCGCGGCGAGCCTGGCAGGCGGAGGTCACCGTGTGGGGACAGTCTCAGGGGTCTCTGAGGATGCCAGGCGCCTACAGCTTGTCCAGGAAGTTGTCCAGCGCCGGGATGCCCTCCTTCAGGCCCTTGCGCTTGCGCGTCTCGGCCACCACCTGGCTGGGGCGGCTGCTGCTGTCGAAGGGGTCGCCGGGCAGGATCTGCCAGTGGTCGAACACGCACTGCGGGAAGGCCTGGCCGCCCGTGTTGGAGCGCAGGTCAGCGGTGAAGCCTGCGGACAGCGGGTGGTGAGCGGAGCCCGCGGGGAGGCGTCCGCGCCCTCCCGGGAGCCCCAGCCGCTCGGGCACTCACCGAAGGACTCGTTGACCGGCAGGTAGGCCTTGACCACGAACATGGGGGTGCCGGCCACCTGGGACTCCTCGAAGACGTGGCCCCGCTTCCTGTTCAGGACGCCGTAGATGCCGCCCACCACCTGCTCCGGACACTGCAGGGAAGGGGACGCGCTCAGTGGCCGCAGGGGGCAGGCCGGGGGCTGGCCTTCACCCGGATCTCCACCAGGGACATGGGGGGCAGGGGCAGGGCTCACCTGGATCTCCACTAGGTAGATGGGCTCCATGAGGCGCGGCTGCGCGGTCAGCACGCTGGCATAGAGGCAGCGCCGGGCTGTGGGGATGATCTGGCCACCGCCGCGGTGGATGGCGTCGGCATGCAGGGTCACATCGTGGACATCAAAGCGCACCCCGCGCATGTTCTCCTCGCACAGCGCCCCCTGCGGGGGGAAAAGGTGACTAGGGGAGCCCGCAGCCCCAGCCCCAGCCCGCAGCCCGTGTCTGCCGGCCTGCTCACCTCCTTGGTGGCCCACTGGAAGCCGGCCACCACACTGTCCTTGATCTCGTTGAGGTACTGCACCCCCTTGGTGATGTCGGTGAGGATGTTGGGCCCGGTGCCGTCGGGGCCGAAGCACCAGATCTTGCGGGCCTCGGCCACGTCCCACTCGTACTTCTCGGCCAGGTAGCGTGCGCGTTGCTTGAGCTCCTGGCGGGCGGACACCTCGCCCTTGTCGATGTCCTCGGCCAGGCCGTCGGGGAAGGGCCGCGCCTTCATGTACAGCCGGTTGTGCTTGTTGGGGGACTTGGAGAGGCACATTACATTCGACTCCTCGCTCACTGTCTCACGGTACGAGACCACGGGGTCCGATTTCTGCGAGGGAGAATCTGGGGTCACAACTGGTGGGGCAAGCATTGTGGGTGCCGCCCCAGAGACAGGGGAGAGCTGCGCCCCAGCCACACCCTGCGGCGGTAGTGAGCCCATGTGGCAGGGACACCCAGCCAGCAGGGGGACAGCCTGGTCCCCAGCCCTGCCTGAGGGCATCTAAGCAGTGCCAAGCTGTAAGAGCAGGGCACTCGGGGAGGGGACACCCCATGTCCCTCTCCCAGGAAGGCTGGCACCCACGAAGGGCTCCAGCAGGGGCACAGTGAGACATCAGGGTGAATGACAGCACCCCCCACCCCGGCACCTTGATGGGGATGCAGGCGTGATCCTCCTCCAGGTCCTTGAGGCAGATCTCCAGGTGCAGCTCGCCAGCACCCGCGATGATGTGCTCCCCCGACTCCTCGATGATGCACTGTGGGGGCCGGAGTCAGTGGGGGCCATGGTCATGGAGCCCGAGCCCCGGGGTGCAGATCCCCGGGGAACCCCAGCACAGCACAGGGACAGGTGGGTGGGCACAGGAACCTCCAGCCTCACAGGGCCCATGCCCTTCCCACAGGGCCCACCTGCGAGTCCCACACCCACCTGCACCATGGGGTCGGACTTGGCCAGCCGCTTGAGCCCCTCCACCAGCTTGGGCAGGTCAGCTGGGTTTTTGGCCTCCACTGCCACCCTGACCACAGGGCTGACACTGAACTTCATCACACGCATGTTGTGGGCGTGCTCGAAGGTGGTGATGGTACCCGTTTTCACCAGGAACTGGTCCACGCCCACCAGGCCCACGATGTTCCCGCATGGCACGTCCTCGATGGGTTCCACGTACCGGCCCATCATCAGGATGGTCCTGCAGGCACAGGGGTTCTGCTGAAGCCCTGACCTCCCCAGAGCCTTGACAGGGTCCTCAAGCCCCACAGCTTGGCTCTGTCCATGTCGCAGCCACCCTGTCCCCTGAAGACACAGCCCAGAAACGCCCAGAAAAAGGGGAGGGCTTCAGCCAGCATCCTCTGCTACCCACTGGACAGGCAGATGGTGACAGCACCTGGTGTCCCAGTGCTCAGAATCTGAAAAACTCAAGTTCAAGCCCATGTGGCAAATGCCTGCCCCAGGGAGACCCCGTCTCCAGGCAGCAGGGCCCGGGATGGAACTCGGAGCGGAGGCCCTGGGTCCCACCCTTAACGTGACCAGGTCCAACAGCAGGAGCAGGACGCAGGTGGGCGCAGGGCAGCCACTCACCTCTGGATGGGTTTCAGGTAGAGGTCCTCCTTCTTCCCAGGCGTGTAGTTGGGGCCCATGATCCGGACCTTCAGGCCGGTGGACACCAGCCCTGAGAAGACGCGGCCGAAGGCATAGAACCGACCTTTGTCGGAGGTTGGCACCATTTTGGAAATATACATCATCAGGGGACCTTTGGGGTCACAGCTTTTAATGCCTGGGGGCACAGAAGACAGGAAGGGCAGAGGTCACACCCCGAAGCTCCACTCCAGACCCCAGGCTGCTGGGCCCTGACGGCACCTACCCATGGCGGCCTCGTCATCCGGGGGCCCCTCGTACAGCAGCTCGCAGCGGTACTTCTGCGCAGTGACAGGCGACGGGAGGTGGATGGTGATCATCTGCAGCAGCGCGTCCCCGGCCGGCAGCCAGCGGCGCATCACAGCCTGCGGGCAGAGGGCGACACAGACCCTGCCATTCACATGGGGCTCCTCGCGACCCACACGCCCTGCTGGAAAGGCCTCAAGGGTGACACCCATGGTGCGGCCGCCTGTCCCTGAAGGGGACCCTCAGGACAGTGCCAGGTCCGTGCAGCGGCTGGTCCTCACCTTGAGCAGCGGCTTGCCCTCCTTGTCCTTGTCCTCGCTGTCCAGCTTAATGTCCAGCTTCTCAATCAGCTTTGCTGTCTCCTCTTTCCTGAAATTCATGATGGCATCGAACACCTGTATGGACAGGGAGGGAGTGGTCATCGAAGCAGAGAGAAACCCGCAGCTAGGGGACCCACACCAGCACCACATCCGCTGGGCCCTGGGTGGCTCCTGGGACCTCAAAAGACTAAAGGACACCTGGGCCCCCTCTCGCCCGTGTCCTTGTCACATGGGGGGGGGGGGCGCAGAGCCCTGCTGCGAGAGGGGCTGACACTCCCGACCCAGGGCCCCCAGGCAACCCTGTCCCACCTTGAAGATGGGGTCCAGGATGAGCTGGCAGAAGGTGCGAG